ACGAATTTCTTAAGGAGAAAACTAGTTACTAAAACAAAACACGTTAGTGTACCTTGTTAGCTAATGTTAGCTAGCTGACATTAACGTTACACATTGCACTCATATTACTCACCGAAACCTTGTAAAGCCGGTCCCGCTGCTCTTACAGAACCGACTAACTCCCCTTTCATATAGGTACAGCTCTCAACGTGCCCAGACTTGTAGTGATTTTCACCTCGTAAAATACTTTTATTCTCATTCTGAAAGAATGTGGTGAAATGTGCCAACGTGACGGCCATCTTTATGTTGGTGACGCGTATTGTGCGAGACGAGAGACCTGTAGTTCACTGAGCGGTTTCACACGAAAAAATGTGTAACTTCACAGTTTTACGACACATTTTTATTTTTTTGACTTGCAAAATGTTCTTTTAAATTGACAAACATCATATGTGTCATTCGTGGCACAATTCAAACGGGATCAAAAGATAACCTTTCTCTCTCCATTGACTTCAATGTATAATTTTCCGCATCCGGGGTCCCATGGAGGCTTTCGGAAGGGGAGGGACTTCGCCTCTCTATACAGTATATCCCTCTGGTACACTGGTATGTGTTTTCCTAATGTAGAGAGCATTGATTAATTAATAAACTACACACTGAGTCTAGATCCTGACCAAATCCTTTTTTATTGTTGATCAAATGTTTTTCAAAAATGTATTCATACACATTTAGAAAAATACAATGTACAATCACAACCAATACAGCACAAATTACAAAAAATACAGAAAAAACAAACAATAACAACAATCAGACAAGAGGACAAAACTATGGAAAAATAAACCCTCCCACCCCCAGATCCGGACCATCCTTGTATTATTGCTCATTCAATCTATTATAGCATGCTAACAAATGGTACTTACTTTATTTTTACAGATCTGCATGGGAGACGATGGCGCGATGCAGAGCGCTGTCTGTGATTGTGCACAGGAGATGTACAAATGCAGCCACGCTGCAGCATTGGCAATATTTGCCATGTGGCAGATCAGCTCCACAGATGTTGAGTGCCAGTGGAGGAAGCCTGGCACTTAAAAAGTAGTCCAGCCGGTGTCTCAACTTTACCATCAGCGAGAGGAGACATACAACCCACTGGCCAGAGACATCGCCAACTGTCAACTGGGGGGTTGTAAACGAGGCCGAAGGGGTGAAGGCTTTTGTGGAGGCCTATCAAGTGACAGTGTTAGAATCGAGTCTGGTCTCTTTGTGAGTGAGTCGGGTGTTTTGGGAGCATCACCCGATGGACTTGTGCAGCCATCTGCCCTGCTGGAGGTGAAGTGTCCACACAGCCAGAGGAACATGACCATCGCGGAGGCAGTCCAGTTACCATCCTTCTGTCTTCGTGAGGAGGGTGGGTCATATATTCTCAAGTAGAATCACCCATACTGGCACCAGTCCAAGGGCAGCTGCATATCACAGACCGGAGTCTCTGCTACTTTGTTGTGTGGACCACGAAGGAGGTGATCATCATCCCCATCCCCATCCCCAAAGACCCTGCATGGCATGGAAATCTCCTCCTCCTGGAAAAATTCTACACCCAGCATATGCTCCCTGTGTTGGCCAGTAGAGAGGAGGACATTTCAATAAACATACTCTTAACACCCTCGGACTCTGCGTTGTGTTTCGTATGTGTGATGGGGTGTTATGCAGGGGGGAGGAAAACAGGACACAGCAGATTGGGATTGTGGTGGAGATGCTGAGCAGTTATTTAATTGTTGCATGTAATTATTATTATACTGCGTGCTTCTGAGTTATTCCATCTTTTGCTGTAACATGGATATGTAAGTAACTCTATATTTACTTGTTATCTACCACACTTCCTTCTACATCATACACCATCATTATACATGATGGTGTATATAGGATATATATATTTGTATACATATCTGTAAATTGTATAATTTTATTTAAACGTCTTTTTGATCTCTCAAACTGAGTAAGATTGACAATAAAGTTGACTTTGAAAAATATATATATTCTTTATGAAAATAGTTGACTGTTGTCAAATGAATCCAAATGAAACGTTGGATTGAACTACAACTACGCCTTTAAATCTCTACGGACTGTTTTTCAGTGGGATGGCAAGTTCTTATCTTTAAACATTTATTAGTTTTTTCTCAGAACAGATTTGATTTTCTGAAGTTAATTTAACTTTGGCGACCATGTAAGGTCATTATTAAAAGGTACAATCAATTTGTTTATGGTTAACTAAAATAATGAAAAACATTCATTTGGATAATTTACTGACAGAATAAGAAACTCAATGATGCTCTACTCACCTGTTCCTTTTTTATAAAGTGAAACAGTTGAAACGATAGATTTTAGAAACTTAAAAACAACCTTCTCCAAAAGCTATCAAGGAATATACCGAATACTTGTTTTAGAACTTTATTACATATTTTTATATAAATAGTTTGAATGATCCATAATTGACAGAAGCTTGTGTTTACACTGACCTGTTACTCATATATTAATGTCTTTGTAACTTCAGTAAACCACTACCTCACTAATTTCTTTCATTCATCACGGTTCAGTAAACTAAGTGATACATGAACCAGTTTAATCATTATAATAACGTAGGATTGCAACTCTTTGAAACTGTAGGTGGCTCTTAAAAGAGCCGTTGTGTTTGGGTGTGCTGGTCTCAGGTCAGTCTAAGCCCTCTCTCCACGGATGCGGCGGGCCAGCTGGATGTCCTTGGGCATGATGGTGACCCTCTTTGCTTGGTTCATCTTACTGGGGGGCAGCTACATGGATGTCGGTGCAGTCCACAATCATTGTGCAGTTGAAGGCAGAATGAATTTATTATTGACTCCGAATGAAGCACAACTTCATGTCATACAATACAAGGACTTTATTTGTAATTGTGTAAAAAAATATGAGCATTGATTAGCAAGCAGGACCTGCAGAAACAGAGAATGGTGATGTATGGAGCTGGGAAGAGAGAAGAATAAAGAAAACAGATCAACTTTATTATCGGATATTAAAAATTAAATTTCAAAACAAGTTGCCGCTCCTACAGTTTTCTAATATGTAAAGATGATTTCACATGATCTATGCAAAATATCACACTCAATACATGTGTGTCTCTGGGGGGTGCATTGTGCCTTTGATGTATATAAATAATATACCATGACCAAATACTATTACGTACAGTGGAAATCAGGTTGCCAGAGCAGGTCAGTGTGCATGTTCCTCAACGTCTCAGCAGTTACGGCCCCTACAGTGTCACCCACTGTCTCTGCCACCTCCCCCCATGCCTGGCTCCTCCGGTTTGTATCCCTGTATGTAAAGAGGGACTGGTCATATAGTACCGCCACGATCATTTTCTCCTCCATTTTTTGACATATGGGAAATAACTGCGGTCTGGCTCTCCCAACATACGTTTGATTGGCTTGCGCTTGTAATGTCAGATTTGAATACGCGGGATTTGATTGGCTGACGCCTCCGTCGAGGCGGCAAAAGTAGAACATTGCTCTACTTTTGCAGCGAGCACCGCGAGAGAAGCTACGCTTTGCTCCCACAATGCAGTTCGGCGAATCGTGACGTCACCCCATTCAAAGTGAATGGGCAGAAGCGTTGAAGCGGCAACGCACGCCGCCGTGTGTAGGCTCCGTTACAGGTGAGGTAAAGAAAATAAAAGAGAAAAAGGTCAGTAACAACACTTTAAAGTAACAACACTTTGAATAATTATCTCTTCTAACAATTTTCTCTCAATAAGCACACAACGACTGTCTTTCCAACAAACAGATTGTCATCACAATGAAACACGTCCAGAAGAATGTCATGCAAAGCTCCATGCCTGCCTTCGACTCTCCCTGAACTGCTTCCTTAGCACCCGGTGGAGGGCGCAGTAGGCTACTCTTCAAATGTTTCACGAAATACTTACCATCATGTTTGGTTACTGTTTAACATTTTGGTTTACTTCATGTAATAAAATAATAACTTCATGGTAAGGCTACTAAAAATGACAAGGCTAAGTAATGTAATGCTAACTAACGTGCTCGCTACTCGTCGCTACTAGCTAGGTAGCTAACTTGACTATGCACATGAACATGCACAACATGTATATTTACCTATGATATTACCTGATATGTCTGATCCAGCGACTCCTGGTCCTTTCATCAGACGGGAATCGATAGAAGGAGCAAGTGGTATGATCACTTTTATGACTACAACCTGGTACAAAGCACACAGGCATCTTGTAAAAGTGAATTTATTTTTAGCAATCTATAATTTATTGAAGGGAATAAATCAGTTATGAGATCTTCTTCGCTTTAATTACGAGTCTTATTATAAATCACCGAGCATGCCTGTGACATCACTTACGCGACCCAGAATGGGATTTGTAGTCTTTGTAGGAGCGTATTTTTCATAGTCTTATATTTGAGCAGTTTTACGACAAAATGTGACTTTTTTGACCTGGAAATGATTGTTTAAGATTGACAAACATCATATGTGTAGTTTGTGGCACAATTCAAACGGGATCAAAAGATACGTGTTCTCTCTCCATTGAATTCAATGTAAATGTTTTGCTTCCGGGGTCCCATGGTCCGGAAGTAGATGGGCGTGACTTCGCCTCTCCATGGGTTTTTCATCACGCTCCTATTGGCTAGCGCTTCAACACATTGTACGTGATTGGCTAAGGGCCGGGACATCTCTAAGTGGTTGACCAATCACAACAGCTAACCAATCAGAGCAGACTGGGCTCTGGTTTCAGACAGAGGGTTGTTATTACATTACATTGCATTAGCTGACGCTTTAATCCAAAGCGACTTACAATAAGTGCATTCGACCAAGAAGATACAAACTTGAAGAAAACAGAATCATATAAGTACATCAGGTTTCATAGAGCCAAACATTTCAAGTGGTACTCAACTGGCTTTAGATAAGCCAGTCCTTTGTTAGTATATAAGTGCTTTGTTTGTAATAATTTATATCGCTCGAAGTGGAGTCGAAAGAGATGAGTTTTCAGTATGTGTAGGATTTCTGCTGTCCTGATGTCAATGGGGAGCTCATTCCACCATTTTGGAGCCAGGATAGCGAACCCACGTGTTTTTCCTGATGGAAACTTGGGACCCCCACGCAGTGAGGGTGCAGCGAGCCGTTTGGCTGATGCAGAGCGGAGTGCACGTGCTGGGGTGTACGGTTTAACCATGTCCTGGATGTACGAAGGGCCAGATCCATTCACAGCATGGTACGCAAGTAGGCCCACTGCTATGTAGCTTGTGATTTTCACCAAGACATCAGTAAAGTTGTATCTTAACCTAAAATAATGAAGGATAATTGACGTGATATATTACATTTTGTATTATTACCATACGTCTTTAAAATAACTATCAAATAAATATAGGAGAGATAATTGTTTTACTGTACAAGTATCAGGAAACGAATGAGTGAAATACAGTACAGTTTACTTTCTCTCCAACACTGGATTAATAAGAGAATAAATAAAATGTAATAACAAAAAAGTTCACAACAGATGAACAACTCGGTAAAAGATATACAGACATAAGACAACATTAATAAATATAATATAAAACAATAATACATAAACAAGACAATATTTTAGCATTAAAAACGCGAGAAAAAAAAAATATACCGATATTTTTTAAGACAAATGGTAGAAACTTGTGATTTAACTTCTGTTGTGTGAATGTGAATACAAAATGATGCATTTGATACAATTCTCAGGGGTTTTTGTGAGCAGGAGTCACGAGTCAGTCATGGCCGTGGCGTCATGAAATATGAATCATCCTCTGAAACATTGAGGAAGTGACGGACAAACATGTGGAGCATGCTGAGTGTTGTGAGGGGAAGATTGGCTGTTATAATGGAGCCCTGTCACCGCTGACTGACACCGGGAGCCGGGGTTCTGCTGGTGTTTTCCGCAGGGTTTCTGCAGGAGTGTGTCCCCAGCTGCCAATGAGCTGCAGGTAATAAAACATTCATGCCGACATGAACCAGGCTGGACAAGCAGTCTTTCAAATGTACTTTAAATCCCTGCGAAAGGAACGCTGTGCTGCATATCGGCTTATTGTGTTTCTGGATCTACATTTCCTTGGGGACTGCTTCTCCAAAGGACTCTATTTTAAGCTTTAATGGACTTTATTTGATGGTTTCTTATTAATTAGGGACATTTTCCCTACTCGACAGGTGTGAATATTCATCCATCCCTCCAGCCTCATGGCAAAGGTATGTGCTGTTATTTATTAGGGGAGACCGGGGTGGAATAGCACACAGCTGATTATTCTTCTTTTTTCTAAATATTATTTTAGGTGTTTTATTAAATCCAGTACAGGGTTAAACATTGAATAACTCGTACATATGACTAGATTTTAGTTTCACAATAATGTTGTTGTTATTTAAGATAAACCTTCAGTACTTATAAAGTTAATTGTTGTTATTAAATGTTTGAAATAATAATAATAACGTATTTATTTGTAAGGTTTATTATTATTATTATTTAATCATTTTTCACATAAACATTTTTTTTATTATAACTAAATTCAACCTTTTTATTGTATTATTATTATTATTTTGTTTATGTTTTAATTTTAATCCTTTAATTTAATGTATTTATTGTAATTGAATGTGTATTTATTATGTCCCTCTGCTCCTGTAGATGAGCTGGGCTGCTGGTACTCAGTGTTTGGCTAAGGGAGATCACAGGAAGCCAAAGCCTGAAGAGCTGTGTTACCACAAAGGGGACATCCTCACCATCATCCACACCAGCACGGTAATGCCTGCTTTAAAAGGAGCTGCACTCGTACAGATATATCATTTAGTATTTGTAAACGTTCCTTCATTTAACACCTCTGTTGCTCCTTCCCAGAAGAAGGGGTTCTACAGAGTCAGACACAACTCCAGCGGAGAGGAAGGACTCATCAACTCCACAAACGTCCGTGAGAGAGAAGCTCTGCGAGTCGACCCCGGACTCAGCTTCATGCCGTACGTCTCCGCTAAACACTGTTTTAAATGTCATAAGGAGTGTTGATTTATAGAGGGGCAATAGAGGAGACATACCTCTTTAGATTCTGTCTTAAAAATCTAAATGTCCTCCACTGAAGTAGAAAAACAAGTAATAGAGGTGTTTAAATGCTGCGGGAGTGATATTTGATGTATAATGGAAATATGGGTTCTTATATAAATATTTAAAACTTTATTTTTTAATAAGAATGATTCCGTTTTTATTTTCCATTATATGTTATGAATTTATATATCATATTTAATTATTATTATTATTATAATGAATAATAACAATTTAATTTTTTATTTGTCTTTTTATATTTTTAAATATATTGTAGTATTATATTTATTTGATGTTATTATTATTATAATAATAATTTATTTCATTTTTTATATTTGTATTATATCTATATTATTATTAATATTATTTTATATAATTTATATCTATTTTATTATACTTTAAAGTTCTGACTGTGTGTTATCAGTAGGACGCAGCCTTGTTTACTCTGACAGTGAACAGCCTCAGTGTGTCTGTGGCTCTGATGCTCTTTCGCTTCTAACTTTAGCTTCTGCCTTACTCAATATTTAAACATCTTGTGACCACACAGTGTGAGAACAATGTACAAACAAACACCATCTTCTCCCCACGTGAAAACTACTCACATGTTCTCACCTCCTGTCAGTCAGAAAAATATATTCAGTAATTCAGAATTTATGATTTTTCACTCACTAATTTATTTTTACTTTTGTCTTTCAAACGTTTGTTTTGGTGAATTTGAAAGCCCAACATAAGCCAACTTTAGCTTAGCGGTGGTGACATGGAGTCATGTGACCGTGCTGTAGTTCCTTTATTGCCTAACATTAGCCACCTTTAGCTTAGCGGTGGTGATGTGAAGTCATGTGACCGTGCTCGTGCTGTAGTTCCTTTATAGCCTAACATTAGCCAACTTTAGCTTAGCGGTGGTGACATGGAGTCATGTGACCGTGCTGTAGTTCCTTTATTGCCTAACATTAGCCGCCTTTAGCTTAGCGGTGGTGACGTGAAGTCATGTGACCGTGCTGTAGTTCCTTTATAGCTCAACATTAGCCACCTTTAGCTTAGCGGTGGTGATGTGAAGTCATGTGACCGTGCTGTAGTTCCTTTATAGCCCAACATTAGCCGCCTTTAGCTTAGCGGTGGTGATGTGAAGTAATTTGACCGTGTTGTAGTTCCTTTATAGCCCAACATTAGCCGCCTTTAGCTTAGCGGTGGTGAAGTGAAGTCATGTGACCGTGCTGTAGTTCCTTTATAGTCTAAAGTTAGCTTCTTACTTAAAAAATGATAAAGTGGTGTTAATATGTGGAGATTATCCTGCTAATCAAAACGTGTAATAATCATAAACGTTTGTTTGATTATTTTCTGCAATAATCAAAAATCAAATGGAGAAATCCCATTGAACCAGGGAGATGCTGCCTTCAGGGTCCACTACAGAAATACGTTATCATTGAGCCACTCTGTCATCCTATTATGGTATTTCTCGTCCACACTTCATGCATTTGGTGTTTTTCTGTCTCTAGTTGGTTCCATGGGAAGATTTCGGGTCCAGAGGCGGTTTGTAAGCTGCAGCCGGCAGAGGACGGGCTGTTTCTGGTCCGAGAGTCCATCCGCCACCCAGGAGACTACGTCCTGTGTGTGAGTGTCTCCAGAGACGTTGTCCACTACCGCGTCATATACCAGGACAACAAGCTGACCATCGACAACACACAGTTCTTCTACAACCTCATCGACATGATCGAGGTAATTCTATATAGGAAAAAGTAAATAAAGCTGCAGCAAGCACACAATCCTTAAAGATATCAAATGCTAAAACTATACAACACGAAAACTGGATATCATTTAGAAGCTCAATAAAACAATAAAAAGGGTTAATTGGAATTAGCTAAATATACCAAATAATGAGTAAATGTTGTAAAATATACAAAATTCACAGCAAGTGTCTGAGAGTTGTTTTTTTAATTGAAACCTGTCGTGTGTTGCGTTTCCTTTCACACTTTCTCTATTTTTGTAATTGTTCAGACAACACAGGAAATCCCCAAGCACCGCTGAAATGCACTCTACAATTCAAACTTCTGCACAACTGCTGAAGAGAAGACAGAAATAGACGTTTCTTCTTGATGCTCTGTTTAATAATTGAAGTATTTGTCAGCGTACTGACGTGAGAGGTGGTAGTTTTTAGGTACATGTATTATAGTGCTTCACTTTTATACTCACTTCTACGATGCTTTGTATATTTTGAAGGCAAATACTTACTTCACTTCATTTTTTGAGCTTTAGTTACTTTGCAGAAGCAGATTGATAAAACATTAATTGCAAGCTATTAATGTTTCTGTTACACCTGAACATCAGCCGGAGAGGACTCTTTAAAGTAGAGATACTACATACTGATATACACCTGAACATCAGCAGGAGATGGCTCTTTAAAGTAGAGACACTACATACTGATATACACCTGAACATCAGCAGGAGAGGACTCTTTAAAGTAGAGACACTACATACTGATATACACCTGAACATCAGCAGGAGAGGACTCTTTAAAGTAGAGACACTACATACTGATATACATCTGAACACCAGCAGGAGAGGACTCTTTAAAGTAGAGACACTACATACTGATATACACCTGAACATCAGCAGGAGAGGACTCTTTAAAGTAGAGACACTACATACTGATATACACCTGAACATCAGCAGGAGAGGACTCTTTAAAGTAGAGACACTACATACTGATATACACCTGAACATCAGCAGGAGAGGACTCTTTAAAGTAGAGACACTACATACTGATATACACCTGAACATCAGCAGGAGATGACTCTTTAAAGTAGAGACACTACATACTGATATACACCTGAACATCAGCAGGAGATGGCTCTTTAAAGTAGAGACACTACATACTGATATACACCTGAACATCAGCAGGAGAGGACTCTTTAAAGTAGAGACACTACATACTGATATACACCTGAACATCAGCAGGAGAGGACTCTTTAAAGTAGAGACACTACATACTGATATACACCTGAACATCAGCAGGAGAGGACTCTTTAAAGTAGAGACACTACATACTGATATACATCTGAACACCAGCAGGAGAGGACTCTTTAAAGTAGAGACACTACATACTGATATACACCTGAACATCAGCAGGAGAGGACTCTTTAAAGTAGAGACACTACATACTGATATACACCTGAACATCAGCAGGAGAGGACTCTTTAAAGTAGAGACACTACATACTGATATACACCTGAACATCAGCAGGAGAGGACTCTTTAAAGTAGAGACACTACATACTGATATACACCTGAACACCAGCAGGAGAGGACTCTTTAAAGTAGAGACACTACATACTGATATACACCTGAACATCAGCAGGAGATGACTCTTTAAAGTAGAGACACTACATACTGATATACACCTGAACATCAGCAGGAGAGGACTCTTTAAAGTAGAGACACTACATACTGATATACACCTGAACATCAGCAGGAGAGGACTCTTTAAAGTAGAGACACTACATACTGATATACACCTGAACATCAGCAGGAGAGGACTCTTTAAAGTAGAGACACTACATACTGATATACACCTGAACATCAGCAGGAGATGACTCTTTAAAGTAGAGACACTACATACTGATATACACCTGAACATCAGCAGGAGAGGACTCTTTAAAGTAGAGACACTACATACTGATATACACCTGAACATCAGCAGGAGAGGACTCTTTCAAGTAGAGACGCTACATACTAATATACACCTGAACACCAGCAGGAGAGGACTCTTTAAAGTAGAGACACTACATACTGATATACACCTGAACATCAGCAGGAGAGGACTCTTTAAAGTAGAAACACTACATACTGATATACACCTGAACATCAGCAGGAGAGGACTCTTTTTAAAGTAGAGACACTACATACTGATATACACCTGAACATCAGCAGGAGAGGACTCTTTAAAGTAGAGACACTACATACTGATATACACCTGAACATCAGCAGGAGAGGACTCTTTAAAGTAGAGACACTACATACTGATATACACCTGAACATCAGCAGGAGATGGCTCTTTAAAGTAGAGACACTACATACTGATATACACCTGAACATCAGCAGGAGAGGACTCTTTAAAGTAGAGACACTACATACTGATATACACCTGAACATCAGCAGGAGAGGACTCTTTAAAGTAGAGACACTACATACTGATATACATCTGAACACCAGCAGGAGAGGACTCTTTAAAGTAGAGACACTACATACTGATATACACCTGAACATCAGCAGGTGAGGACTCTTTAAAGTAGAGACACTACATACTGATATACACCTGAACATCAGCAGGAGAGGACTCTTTAAAGTAGAGACACTACATACTGATATACACCTGAACATCAGCAGGAGAGGACTCTTTAAAGTAGAGACATCTACATACTGATATACACCTGAACATCAGCAGGAGAGGACTCTTTAAAGTAGAGACACTACATACTGATATACACCTGAACATCAGCAGGAGATGACTCTTTAAAGTAGAGACACTACATACTGATATACACCTGAACATCAGCAGGAGAGGACTCTTTAAAGTAGAGACACTACATACTGATATACACCTGAACATCAGCAGGAGATGGCTCTTTAAAGTAGAGACACTACATACTGATATACACCTGAACATCAGCAGGAGAGGACTCTTTAAAGTAGAGACACTACATACTGATATACACCTGAACATCAGCCGGAGAGGACTCTTTAAAGTAGAGACACTACATACTGATATACACCTGAACATCAGCAGGAGAGGACTCTTTAAAGTAGAGACACTACATACTGATATACACCTGAACATCAGCAGGAGATGACTCTTTAAAGTAGAGACACTACATACTGATATACACCTGAACATCAGCAGGAGAGGACTCTTTAAAGTAGAGACACTACATACTGATATACACCTGAACATCAGCAGGAGAGGACTCTTTAAAGTAGAGACACTACATACTGATATACACCTGAACATCAGCAGGAGAGGACTCTTTAAAGTAGAGACACTACATACTGATATACATCTGAACACCAGCAGGAGAGGACTCTTTAAAGTAGAGACACTACATACTGATATACACCTGAACATCAGCAGGAGAGGACTCTTTAAAGTAGAGACACTACATACTGATATACACCTGAACATCAGCAGGAGAGGACTCTTTAAAGTAGAGACACTACATACTGATATACACCTGAACATCAGCAGGAGAGGACTCTTTAAAGTAGAGACACATACTGATATACACCTGAACATCAGCAGGAGAGGACTCTTTAAAGTAGAGACACTACATACTGATATACACCTGAACATCAGCAGGAGAGGACTCTTTAAAGTAGAGACACTACATACTGATATACACCTGAACATCAGCAGGAGAGGACTCTTTAAAGTAGAGACACTACATACTGATATACACCTGAACATCAGCAGGAGAGGACTCTTTAAAGTAGAGACACATACTGATATACACCTGAACATCAGCAGGAGAGGACTCTTTAAAGTAGAGACACTACATACTGATATACACCTGAACATCAGCAGGATATGTTACGCCCAGGTCTAGGGGAACCTAGGCGCAGCACAACATTTGCACTCTTCCCACTCCCAAGAACACGCACACCGAGTCAGAGAAAGCGTTTGGTACATTTATTTACCAAAAATATACACAAACAGGAGTAGCAAAACCAACAAAAAAGAAACAAACCTTACAACTCAAAATCTTACCTAACCGAGAAAATAAATATACAGGCTTCTTACCTACATTAACTTAAAAAGGAGAAAACGATCAATCCAAAAGGGAAAAGAAAACAAAAGGGTTTGCACTCCTGAGAACATACATCTGTCTTGCAAAGACAGGTAAAGTGACACTGGCCCGCAGCCAGAGGAGAAGGACAAAATGATACCAAGGTGCGCTCACAGCACCATAGAACAAAATATCAAAAAGCGCCGCATTGGGAGTAGGAGAAGTGGAGTCAGTGAGAGCCGCCGAGGAACTGCACGGCTGCAGTTAAATATCCTCCCGTCTCCCCAGGTGGACCAATCAGCCTGTCGAGGGCCTCCAATCAGCTACCGGGCACCACCTGTTCACTCATACGCAGCCACAGACACAGGAGGAGGAAGAAAATACCTGCACACAAACAACATAACGACCCAGGGTCGAAACAGAGAGGACACACTAACTTAGATTTTGATGAAAGTACTTTTGTATTTCTACACTGAGTAAACTAAAACTAAAAGATATGATTCTGATAGTGCATAAGGTTTATAATGTATGGTAAATTATTGTTATTGTCCATGGGTCTAAATCAGGGGTCTCAAACTCAAGGCCCGGGGGCCAAATCCGGCCCCCGACTTCATTTTATGTGGCCCCGCAAGAGCTCGCAAAGAATATAATATGTTTATTATACGGTTACATGCCACTTTACATAAGCAGGTTGCCCATAAACTACATGTCCCACAATGCATCTCGTTTTGTGACATGCGCACTGAAGAGACTTGCAATTATTTGCCCTGGACTTCTGCTTTCAGACGTAGTTAATTACTAAGTTATTATCCTATCCGATAATAATCCAATTCAGAGGCAATAATGTCATATAATACATTATTTTATATTTATATGATATATTTATATAGTTACAACCGGCCCTTTGAGTGCAACCTTTATGCGAATGTGGCCCGCAATGAAATTGAGTTTGACACCCCTGGTCTAAAGGAAATCATTTTGATATTGAGGTAGCCTGTAAATTACTAATAAACAGAATGACGCATCAGAGCCTGGCTTTTTATCTTCAGCTGTCTGCATGATTCAGCCCAAATATTCCTCCTCTGTTTCCTGTAGCTCGCTGATAAGTCTGAAACACATTGACTGACCCCTGACACAGAAACAGAGGAACCATAAAAGGGCTTCGTGTGTTTTCATGTCCTTGTTTCAGTGTGACACACAAAGGCTTATTTTTACCACTGCTGTCAGACGATGGTGGTAAAGTGGGCGTCGAATTACACTTAAAGTACCAACACTTTATTTAGTTTTATGTTCTTAAAAATCAATAATAGTACATATTATATCACTGGAGCATCAAAACTAAAAGTACTTATTGTGTCAGAATAATATGATCTATGTTTTTATATACATGTTATAGTTGGATTATACATCCATGCATTCATGTATGCATCTCTTTAAGGTTGTAATTTTAAGGACTTAATATGCTGATATCTTATTATATTGAATAACCATTAATTGAATTCTGTATAATGTATACTAGTCTGCAAAAAGTTGAAAAAAAGACTTGACTCTGAGACGTACTGGAGTAGAAGTAGTAAAAAACATAACAAAGAAATACTCAAATAAAGTACCTTAAATTGTACATAAGTACAGTACCAGAAGTGGGAAGTAACTAAGTACATTTACTATAATTACTATACTTAATACAGTAATATTGAGGTACTTGTACTTCACTTATGTATTTCTATTTTCTGCTACTTTTCACTCCATGTTTTTAATACCTTTAGTTACTTCACAGATGTGGATGAATGATGTGAAATATAATCAAGTGTTGAATCAGACTTTAGTTCCACCTGGAGTAAATTCACAAGCTACCCTGCAGTATACAAAGTCATTCAAACTAGCTGCACCTTCACCAGCTTTGAGAACACTTTCATGATCAATCATTATAAAACATATCATATATATTATTCTGAAATGGACCAATCTGCACAACGACTACTTTTACTGTCGCTACTTTCACTAGATTTTGATGCTAAGACTTTTCTACTTTTACTTGAGTAACATTTTGAATGCAGGACTTTTACTGTTACAGAGCATTCCTACACTCTAGGATCACAGTACTTGTCCCACCTCTGTACAGTAAAAATTACAATGACAAATTACAGATATTGTAAATTTATATTTAAAAACTCTGCTATAATACGGTTTCCATGTGTTCAGTTTTATTCGAGGAACAAAGGCTCGATCGCCACGACTCTCCTGAAGCCAAAACAAAAACACGGAACGAAGTCCGCTGAACTGGAGCTGTCCAAAAGTACGTTTGGTGTTTATTTATACAGATAAAATATAGTTATTATTATTTATAAACGCATGTGAAAGTGTATACATGTGTCTCTCTGCAGGCGGATGGCTGCTGGACATTACAAAGCTCAAACTGGGAGAAAATATTGGAGAAGGGGAGTTTGGAGGTGAGCATTCAATTTGAATTTTAAAAAGCATTTTGAACATTGAAGCATGGAAACATGTGTCACTAGAGCCTCTAAATACTTATATGAACCTGAGAATGAGCAGAATATAATAATAATAATAATAATAATCCTTATATTTATTATAGCGCTTTATCAAAGACTCTCAAAGCGCTTTACAAATACACATTACACATACAGATCATACATGTAATGGTCATCTACTGTGGACAATACCCACAGGAGCAAATTCGGGTGAAGTGTCTTGCCCAAGGACACAACAGCCTGACGCAGTGGGGCGGGAGCGGGTATATGACCTCGAATAGTCATGTTTTGTAATTTTTGTCTATTTTTATATATATAATTTGTATTATCTGTAAGTATATTCCCCATTTAGAGACATTAAAGTCCATCCTTGTGTGTCAGTGTCAGTGCAGATGTTGATGCTGTGTGTTTTCCCTGCAGCTGTGTATGAAGGAGAGTATTTGGGCCAGCAGGTGGCGGTAAAGACCATCAAATGTGACGTGACGGCTCAGGCCTTCCTGCAGGAAACCACCGTCATGACGTGAGTCTGGAGAGGTTTTAATCAGCGATGGAAGAAGTACTCAGATCTGGTACTTGAGTAAAAGTAGAAGTACTCAGATCTTGTACTTGAGTAAAAGTAGAAGTACTCAGATCTGGTACTAGAGTAAAAGTAAAAGTACTCAAGTCTTGTACTTGAGTAAAAGTAGAAGTACTCAGATCTTGTACTTGAGTAAAAGTAGAAGTAGGCCTACTCAGATCTTGTACTTGAGTAAAAGTAGAATTACTCAGATCTTGTACTTGAGTAAAAATAGAATACTCAGATCTGGTACTTGAGCAAAAGTAGAACTCAGATCTTGTACTTGAGTAAAAGTAGAAGTACTCAGATCTAGTACTAGAGTAAAAGTAAAAGTACTCAGATCTTGTACTTGAGTAAAAGTAGAAGTACTCAGATCTTGTACTTGAGTAAAAGTAGAATTACTCAGGTCTTGTACTTGAGTAAAAATAGAATACTCAGATCTTGTACTTGAGTAAAAGTAGAACTCAGATCTTGTACTTGAGTAAAAGTAGAAGTACCATAGTGTAAGAATACTCTTTTAAAAGTAAAAGTCTGATTTAAGAGTTGATTACATTTCACATAATTAATCAAAATCTGCAAAGTAACTAGAGGTATTACTGTAAATACATGTAGTGGAGTAAAAGCACACCATTTACCTCTGAATTGTAGCGGAGTATACCATGGAAATACTCAAGTAAACTTATTAAAACGTTTTTATAACACTATGACTTACATTTTTTATTTTACAAGTACGATACTTAAAGTGGACCTATCATGCTATATTTGAAAAATATATTGTAGGGCCATACCTATATAAAACATGTCTGTGAAGTTTTCTTTTCAAAATACCAAACAGATCATGCATTTTAGCCATGCCTAATTTCGCTCTATTTGCTCTTTTCCAGCCCTGTTTATGCAAGGGCTGATTCTGTGACGTAGCTTTAATGCAAATGAGCTGTAGCTGACCACGCCCCCCTGTAGGAGAGGGGGGCGTGGTCAAAGATCAGCTGCTGGGCTCTCAGAAGAGGGGGAGGAAAATAGAGGCTCCGTCCTCCGTGTATTATTCTTATATGATTATATAGAGTCATTATTCATTTGTTTTAAAGCTCAATAAATAACAAAGAAGACCTTTGACCGGCACTTTTCTAATTTTGTCCGGAAGATTTCAACTTTAACGGACATGTTGACCGGCGAAAAAAAATCGAACTGAAACTCTGCCGCACGGTCCCCTCGTTCCTTGGAAGAGGCGGAGAGGTGGGTGTTTGTCATCTGCAGGTGAACTACCGGAAAGAATTACAGCGCTTGCCTCGGGGAGGGAGAAAAAGAGCCACAGCGGAGAATAAACAGAAGGGCAACCATGGCAACCATGTGCGGGAAGTCTTCTTCGCTGCTTTTGTGGCAGACTACAGCGCCACTTACAGGCCTGGCATATGTACCACAGCGTCTCCAGTGCTTTCGAGCAGCCGTGACCCAACCCCCCATTTCCCTGATAGGTGGAGAGTTGCCCATATAGGCGGAGCACCCCTTTTCTGACGTCAGAAAAATTCAAATAATAATCAGCTCTCTTGTAGCCCCGTTTTTAGAGATTTAGGTATGGAGGAAAAGAGAGAGGGTTGTGTTTTCAGACACTTGGTGAGTTCCCTGACACACCGGGGACACATATTCATGTATAAAAGACATACAAAAGTGCATTTTGCATGATAGGTCCCCTTTAAGGAAATGCAATTCCCTCCACTGCATATTGTGAATACACTTAAACCAGATTTCACTGAGTTTGCTTGATATAGAGAAGAACAAAAAGTGTTATATGTGTTGAAATTAAGTGACATTTAAACTGTGTTTTTATTGTAAATATTGATTCACTCCTCCAGGAAGCTGCAGCATAAGAACCTGGTGCGCCTGTTGGGGGTGATGCTCCACAAAGGGCTTCACATTGTCACAGAGCTCATGACTAAGGTCAGTGAATGCATCATTTATCAGCGGTACTTAAAAATAAAAACAGATTATAATACCTACAAGTAACAAAAAACAGGTAAAAAGTGAATGAGTGTTGAAACCTTCATACAACCCACAATGAAGCAGGAAATACAATCTCCGTTAAAAGGCTGAAGGCCTACTGGAAGAAAACTGCATTTCCCATGAGCACCAGCAGGGAGAATATATGCCTGTCGGTCATAATGCTCACAATCACACTAAGTTTTGTTTGTCGCTAGCTTTCCACTGCAAATGCAGCTAACGTTAGCTCAATTCAACTAGCATAAGCTAAAGTATAAGCTAGCTATGTTTTAACGACTATCATAAATTCATATATTAGTGTTAATCTAGGAGGAAGTGAGACAATTGAGGATAATTTCAGAATCATTTAATAAAAAACTAAATCTATATGTTGAACAAAACCTGACTCACCATGAACACATCTTTTTTTTACTACAAATGTACAACCAGTCAGATTGGTGGTTTATTAATTAACAAATGTTGTTTTTCTTTCTGAATTTTAGAGTAAACATGAATGATAGACAATAAATGATGGAACATACATTCCAAACAAGGTCTTAAAATGGTCTTAATGAGTTAGTTGGCTTGAAAGGTGTAACACAGATTTGGGTGATGACAATCCAAAGATTAGTTTAAGTCAGTTTTCTCCAATGGGACACAAAGAAATTAACCCTAACCTCTAACCCCTGACAGCCGCTGTGACCCGCCGCTGACTAGTTGCTTTAACGAGTCAGAATTGGTCTTCCTCTCCTCTTAATGGTATTAGAACCAAATCCAGGAGCTCGTTGTAGCTGTAGGATTCACATAAGGTCACATCTGACATTAAGTGGCATTTTACTGAATAACTTGTTTAGCCCAGCTTAAGATGTTTGCAAACCATAAAATATCCCATTTGTACTATTTAAAAGATTCAAGGCTTTATTGTTGAGTGTGTCAGTTAGCAAAGAATAACAGACCTCTGGAATGTTCAAGTTGACCAAAGTTGACTGTACAGCTCTCAACGTGCCCAGATTTGGAGTGATTTTCACCTCTTTTAATACTTTTCGCCTCATTCTGAAAGAAATAAGTGAAATATTCCAACATGCCGGCCGTCTTGGTGTGGTGCGAGACGGGAGATGTAGTTAATTCAGGGGCGCCGTAAGGGGGTGAAAAGTTAGGACAATTCTAAGGGCCCGTGACTGACAGGGGCCCAAACTATTTTAGAACATGAAGGAAAAAAAATGTAAGTAACCAATGTGATATCTTTTCATGGGGCCCAAAATCCCTGGCGGCGCCCCTGAGTTCATTGAGCGGTTTCACTCAAAAAAAAAGTGTTACTTCACAGTTTTACGACACATTTTTATTTTTTTGACTTGCAAAATTATCTTTTAAATTGACAAACATCATGTGTGTAATTCGTGGCACAATTCAAACGGGATCGAAAGATAATCTTTCTCTCCCCATTGACTTCAATACATACTTTTTCTGAAATAAGGTCCCATGGTGGTCACCGGAAAGGGAGGGACTTCGCCTCTCTGTTGCTCCCAGTCATGCCGGAATAAATGCAAGAATATTTATGAAAACACTAACTGAGAATGTATTTTATAGAGTCTTATGAAAGTAATATACTCTGTGTTTGTGTTGCAGGGGAACCTTGTGAACTTCCTGAGGACTCGAGGACGATCGGTGGTGAACTCAGCTCAGCTGCTGCACTTCGCTCTGTGAGTTCAGACCTAAATAAATCAAATAACAATAATGAACTTCGTGCTTTCCTGTCAAAACAGAACACTTTAATATTAATAATAACATGGTAAAAAAAAATAGAAAGTAGGAAATAAAAATACATTACAAACAATTTAAATTAAATTAAATATGATTTAAAAAAACAAACTTTAATTGTTTTATCTGACCTTGAAAGTCTTTACCTAAAATGAAATGAAATGAAATAAAATGAAATAAGAGTATAACACAGGATAGATAAGATAATAAAAGATAACATCAAATAAGATAACATAAAGTAATATAGCATTCGATAAGATATGCTAAAATAACATGAAATACACTAAAAAAAGATAAAAAATTTGATAAGAGTTAAACACAGGATAGAACCAGCAGATTTTTTTTTTTACATATTGAAAACATCTATATGTATGTCTGTGTGAAAAATACTGTGTTTATCTTTTTGATGTACTATTACACACCTTAGCAATTTCCTTGTATGTGAATCACAAATCCTTTATTAATGTGTGTGTGTGTGTGTGTGTGTGTGTGTGTGTGTGTGTGTGTGTGTGTGTGTGTGTGTGTGTGTGTGTGTGTGTGTGTGTGTGTGTGTGTGTGTGTGTGTGTGTGTGTGTGTGTGTGTGTGTGTGTGTGTGTGTGTGTGTGTGTGTGTGTGTGTGTGTGTGTGTGTGTGTGTGTGTGTGTGTGTGTGTGTGTGTGTGTGTGTGTGTGTGTGTGTGTGTGTGTGTGTGTGTGTGTGTGTGTGTTTGTTTGCGTGTACAGGGATGTGTGTGAGGGGATGGAGTACCTGGAGTCCAAGAAGTTGATCCACAGAGATTTGGCGGCTCGTAACGTTCTGGTTTCTGACGACAGCGTAGCTAAAGTCAGCGACTTCGGGCTGACGAAGGTGGTCTCCAAGGCCAAGTCCGATAACGCCAAACTGCCCGTCAAATGGACGGCGCCCGAGGCTCTGAAGAAAGAGGTTGGTGTGAAGCAACGCCACGTAAAAGACAGAAGACAGACAGGAAGTAAACACAAAAGAGAACAGCAGAAGAAGACAGGCAGGAAGTAAACACTAAAGGGAACATCAGCAGAAGACAGGCAGGAAGTAAACACTAAAGGGAACATCAGAAGAAGACAGACAGGAAGTAAACACAAAAGAGAACAGCAGAAGAAGACAGGCAGGAAGTAAACACTAAAGGGAACAACAGCAGAAGACAAGCAGGAAGTAAACACTAAAGGGAACATCAGCAGAAGACAGACAGGAAGTAAACACTAAAGGGAACATCAGAAGAAGACAGACAGGAAGTAAACACAAAATAGAACAGCAGAAGAAGACAGGCAGGAAGTAAACACTAAAGGGAACATCAGAAGAAGACAGACAGGAAGTAAACACAAAAGAGAACAGCAGAAGAAGACAGGCAGGAAGTAAACACTAAAGGGAACATCAGCAGAAGACAAGCAGGAAGTAAACACTAAAGGGAACATCAGCAGAAGACAGACAGGAAGTAAACACTAAAGGGAACATCAGCAGAAGACAGGCAGGAAGTAAACACTAAAGGGAACATCAGCAGAAGACAAGCAGGAAGTAAACACTAAAGGGAACATCAGCAGAAGAAGACAGACAAGAAGTAAACACTAAAGAGAACAGCAGAAGAAGACAGACAGGAAGTAAACACTAAAGGGAACAGCAGAAGAAGACAGACAGGAAGTAAACACTAAAGGGAACAGCAGAAGAAGACAGACAGGAAGTAAACACTAAAGCGAACATCAGCAGAAGAAGACAGACAGGAAGTAAACACTAAAGGGAACATCAGCAGAAGAAGACAGACAGGAAGTAAACACTAAAGGGAACAGCAGAAGAAGACAGACAGGAAGTAAACACAAAAGAGAACAGCAGAAGAAGACAGACAGGAAGTAAACACTAAAGGGAACAGCAGAAGAAGACAGACAGGAAGTAAACACTAAAGGGACCAGCAGAAGAAGACAGACAGGAAGTAAACACAAAAGAGAACAGCAGAAGAAGACAGACAGGAAGTAAACACTAAAGGGAACAGCAGAAGAAGACAGACAGGAAGTAAACACTAAAGGGACCAGCAGAAGAAGACAGACAGGAAGTAAACACTAAAGGGACCAGCAGAAGAAGACAGACATGAAGTAAACACTAAAGGGAACAGCAGAAGAAGACAGACAGGAAGTAAACACTAAAGGGAACATCAGCAGAAGAAGACAGACAGGAAGTAAACACTAAAGGGAACATCAGCAGAAAAAGACAGACAGGAAGTAAACACTAAAGGGAACAGCAGAAGAAGACAGACAGGAAGTAAACACTAAAGGGACCAGCAGAAGAAGACAGACATGAAGTAAACACTAAAGGGAACAGCAGATGTTTTTATATGTTACATTTTTTCCTCCCATCCTGCAGAAATTCTCAACAAAGTCGGATGTATGGAGCTACGGCGTTCTCCTGTGGGAGATCTTCTCCTACGGTCGGCAACCTTATCCTAAGATGGTGTGTGTGTGTCTGTGTGTGTGTGTGGGTGTGTGTGTGTTGTGTACAGTGTTGATTTAATTAATTCACATATTTAAAAAGTAGTTTAACCACATGCACGTACATTACATGTCATGTTACCATGCTGTTACCATGCCACGGCAATCTCATTCCCCTGATTGGTGGAGAGTTGGCCATATAGGCGGAGCTCCTCGTCACTGACGTCAGACTAATTTAAAATCTGTATCAGTCTGTATCAGATCCGTTAAAGCCCCGTTTTGAGAGATTTGGGTATGGAGGAAAAGAGAGAGGGTTGAGTTCCCTGACACTTGGTGAGTTCCCTGACACACCGGGGACACATATTCATGAATAAAAGACGTACAAAGGTGCATTTTGCATGATAGGTCCACTTTAACTCTTCAAGTGATGTTGAGATTCATGATCTGTGTGTCAGTGGAAAGCTTCCAGACCTTGGTCACCTGGATTTACTGTGTCTGAGCAGGAGAGTACGTCAGCGCAGCTTTAATGCACATTGTAATGCGACGACGTGTAGAAATAATCTTTTTGTTCTTACTAATCTTCTCTTTAAACTGTGGCGAGAGAGCTTCTTAACTGTGTCCTACATGTGCGCAGAGGTTGACGTCACATTTAACCAGGCTTGAGGAGTAATAGATTACATGTAACAGGATAGAGAAAAAAGTGGTACCTGTATTCCCTTACAGGGCCCTCAAAAAGGACAAATTGCTCACAATTGCAAACTTGGGCATTACGATGTTAGTAATCAGGTTACTTTAATATTGTGATACACAGATTAGGAAACTGATTACATTTGCAGGTAACTAATTGTAACCTCCTAACTGTGCATCATAAAGTAAATCAGAGATGGAACTACTTAAACAGAGACGAGTTCCTCACATTGGCTGCTCAGGTAATCCTCAGGGAAGCGGATCAGGCTGGGCGATTTAGCGTCTCTCTTCCTCTTTACGTCAAGCGGTGTGCTTTTAAATGCACATGATTAGCTCCTAATTACAGACCAATGCTAGCAGACATTCAGGTTGATTCATGTGGGTCAAGTTCATCTCATTCATTAAACTCTACGCCTGGTCATTGTGTGTGTGTGTGTGTGTGTGTGTGTGTGTGTGTGTGTGTGTGTTGTGTGTGTGTGTGTGTGTGTGTGTGTTGTGTGTGTGTGTGTGTGGTGTGTGTGTGTGTTGTGTGTGTGTGTGTGTGTGTGTGTGTGTGTGTGTGTGTGTGTGTGTGTGTGTGTGTGTGTGTGTGTGTGTGTGTGTGTGTGTGTGTGTGTGTGTCTCATCAGCAACAAGTGGACATTGAGAACTACATGAACTACATGTTGCTAAATCCACTGCGGAGAATAAACAGAAGGGCAACCAGGAAACCATGGCAACCAATGCTCGGGGGGTCTTCTTCGCTGCTTTCGGTGTATTTTGTGGCGGAAGTACAGCGCCACTTACAGGCCCGGCATATGTACTACAGCGTCTCTAGCGGGTCGAGCAGTCTCGTGTGGACGGACACGTTTCTTGAGCCGATTCCTTGTGGACGGAAGACTTTTTTGATATCGACATCGGTTCGTTTTTGTCTCTGTGTAAACATGGCCTAAGAGGAGATTCAGGTGATAAGGTGGTGGGGGGGGGGTGCTTGGCTAATGGTTACACAAGCCAACAAATTGTTACCACATCATAAAGTGGCCAAAATCTAATCAGCAGGTTTTTATATAAATGGATCAGGACAAAAAGAGAGAGAATCTTTTTTCCTGAAACTTTCAGAATCTCTTTACACAGAGGGGACACATGTTGATGTAGAAGAGACATGGAGAAGTGGATTTTGCATAATATGTGACCTTTATTAATACCTTCTCTCTGGTTGTCCCTGCAGTCTCTGAAGGAGGTGAAGGAGATGGTGGTGGGAGGATATCGCATGGAGGCTCCGGAGGACTGTCCCCCCGCCCTGTACTCCCTGATGAGGCTGTGCTGGGAGCAGGAGCCCCGCAGGAGGCCGGCCTTCAACAAACTCAGGGAGAAACTGGAGAGGGAGGCAGGGAAACACAGCGGGGGGGAGGGGGGCACCTCTGCATCTGGATCCTGATGTTGAACTCACAATGAGAGGAAATACAGGCGTCTGATGGAGCGGTACACACACACACTGCTCCTGTGTTTGTGTGCTGGAGAAACATCTGGATTCTATCGGACGCAACAAGACAATGTAGCGCCGAATACTAAACTCTGCTTTACTGTGGGGTTAATAAAAGCCAAAAGGTATTTAATGAAGCGATGTCTGAAAAAGATTAAACATATGTGTCTGGGGGAAAAAAAGTTGATCCTGGATTTAATCCCAGATCATCCAAATCTTTTTACATCCCGGCATTAACGCTCAACAATACGAGACGGGCTTAATATGGAAAATATTTAATGTTATTGCTGATTTACTGTAAGAAAATAATTGTATTGGTATTCTAAAAAGACAACAGCTTTTGCAGAGAAGATCCAGAGGTTTTGATTTACAGACACTCTGCAGGATTTTAATTAATTCATGCTTGTATGACTGAACAGGCCTCAGCGCCTTCAACAGCACAATGTCACTCAAAGAGACACGCACCGATCAGGAAGAGACTTAAAATGACTGCAGGGAGTCACAAAATAATTACAAAGACGTGAACAACAAACGTTAGATATAAAAAGGCCACGTAAAGTCGCGAACTGACAACTAAGAAATGCAATATTACCACAATGACACACAATAGGACCACAACGAGCCACAAAATGACTATAAAGAGAGATTATATTATCGGAGAGAACAGAAAATGGCAAGAAACGCAAAAACGTCTCAAAGATACACAAAAGGACCATGAAGAGACACGAAATGACTTGAAAGACTCACAAAAACCCTATATGACATACAAAAATAGCACAAAGAGACACAAAATGACTTCCAAGAATCACAAAGACACTTCAAAAGACCCACAAAGACTATGACGCACAAAATAACCACAGGGACATAGAAAAAGACTACATAGAGATCCAAAATTATGTCTTTATTAGGATCCCCATTAGCACTAGCATGAGCATTGGCTATTCTTCCTGGGGTCCTCACACACTCAAAACATACATAAACATACATACAACAAAATTAAAACAAAACAGCTCTTCATTTCATGCAATTTACAAGAAGTGAAAACTAAAATGGTCATCCAATTATCGCCATCCTAAAGCCAAACAAAAGTAAATACAAATAAGTGTACATAATATATGCATACATCCAAAATGACCTCTGAGAGACACAACAGGACAACAAAAAGGAAAAAAAACGCCCACAAAGACACACAAAAAGATGACAAAGATAACCACCATGACCTTCAGCTGACTTGTTAACCAGAGATTCAACTTTGGCTTTTTACTTTTGCAGATGTGTTTATTTGTACACCACATCTTACTGTTATTGTCACACTGCACCGGTCAACAGACCTTGATTCAATTCATCTAAATGTAATTTATTTGTATAAGAATAAATCTGCCTCTTCTTGGGGTTTTCAGATTACCACAGGGACTTTGGGTTATCCACTGTTCTCCAGGGATTTTTTTTAATGCAGGTACTGAATGTTTTATTCTAAATCTTTGAAATGCACATTTATATAATGAATGTTTGACCGTATGTATAGTCGGCTGTTTTTTTTATAGAAATACAATGAAATGTTGGTCTTTCTACACGACATGAAGCCTCGGTTGTTGTCACGTCAGAAGTGAAATTAAAGATGTTTTTTTTACTAAGCCTGGTATTTGTCCCGGGAGACGGACCCCCGAATGAATGGCTGATCCTCCTAAATCTGCTTGCAGTTTCCATGAAGCTCTAATGGGATGAGCAGCAATTTCCCCTCTTTAAAATGTTTACAAAACACAATAATAATGAAAGATTTTAAGGATTTTATTCCTGAATACCACTGGTTCATTTCCAGCTTTTTATAGCCCTGATGCAGGAAAACATTCACCAATGCTGCGTTCATGTGCACTTCACAAACGTGTACAGTCTCTCCGACTTCTGTGTGTTAATCAGAAGAAATAAAATGCACTAAAAATGTGTTTTTATTGCTCTATGCGTTGATATCTGTGTCTGAGACGTTTAGCGGTCTTGAACTCCTTTTTCGGATTATTCCTGAACAAATTGAATGCATCACAAAGCCATCCTGCACTGTAATGAATGTGTCACTTTCTGTATATATAATACACACTAACAGGTTCAATGAAAATCCTGAAAGTAGTGTATATTTTAGGATTTCATTCATTTATGTGAAAAAAACTAAAATATTATAAATTAGTAAAAATCTAGTACTACACTAACAATACTCAATTTCAAGTACAAGTACTGCATCAAGAATGGTACTTAAGTAAAAGTATTTATTACAGAAAAAGTATGTTAATATTTTTAAAATAATAATAATATAATATTACATCACAACCTGGAAAAATGGCTTCAGGAAGAAAAAAACACTGAATAAAAACATTTATAAAACATATTTATCACGTGTTATAATAGCGTTCTCTCTCTGGATACAGTTTATCAGTAGTTCTTGTTGTTGAACAGGGCTCACTTCAGGTGAAGGACCCTGATCAGCTGGTTGGATTAGGCAGCGGGTCACTGTGAGGGGGGTGAGCTCTCTGAGACATACGGTGTCCGCTCATCCCTGGAGAGCTGCTTTCCTCAGGAACACCGGCCTGTCAGAAGAAACATCCTCACCCTGATCTGTAGCTCTCCACTGATCGCACCACTCTGGCCCTCATGGCTATTGGTAATTACAGTCTGCATAAAGTAAACATGAAACACAGCCAACGATAACAGCTAGGGTTAGCAGGAGGCTTCAAACTGTATTCATAGAGCACTTTTCACATGCAAACTCTAACACAAAGAGCTTCACAAACCAAAAACATATGAAGCCATTGTTGAATGTTAAAGCTGCAATTTTGGAGGCCGATTTTGTACTTTTTACTCTACTACATTTATTTAACAGATTTATTCACCAGTTACTTTATAAATTCGGATTTTGACAGACAATACTTAGGATAGAATATGATTATTTACAGGGCCGGTTTTTGGCATAGGCGACAGGCGGTCGCCTGGGGCGCCAGATCTGGGGGGGCGCTGCGCCGGAGGGAAAAAAACATTTTTGACCGTTGGTGCTCATCCTAATTTTCGGCCTTGATGTAACAAAATTCATAATTATGTAAATGCAACACCCTTTTCACCCGGTTACACTTTTAATTTGCTCTGTACGATGGGCGCTGTAAGTGATGAAAGTGGGGGATGTTGGCTTATCAGGGGCCTGCAGCTCACAGCCAAAGTGCGAGAGAGCGTGGGAGCGAGCGAGGGAGAGAGAGACGGCGCACCGGTACCGGCGCTGTTGTTATTAGCATCTGGTGCTAGCTGCGCTAACGGATATAAGAAGAAGATGTTTCTACAATAATGTGGAGGGAGAGTCCTCTCCAGTCAGACTGAGAGGCTGATAACTACAGCTCAGTGAGGTAAAGGACTCTGAGTGTTTAGATAGTTCACTTTAGTCTAAATTAGCTCAGTGGGTCTCAAACGGTTTGATCACAATTTATGTAAACAAATATTTCCAAGGCACTTTATAATTATTAGGATAAACAGGTTTGAAATCATTTCAATGTATACTATAGGACAGTGAACCAAAAATATCGTTTAAAACTGGAGAGATAAAAAAATCTCGCCTAGGGCATGAAATTGGCTAGAACCGGCCCTGATTATTTGGTATATAGTAAAGCATCCAACATTATATTTAAGTTGAACCATGAGATGGTTAACAGAGAAGGAATTGACAGCAATTTTGCTAAGACGTTATATGTTATAAATATTAACATGTTCTTTTACTTAAGTACCATTCTTGATGCAGTACTTTTACTCGAAATTTAGTATTTTTTGTGTGGTATTAGTTATTCGCTCGAGTAAAGAATCTGAATATTTTTCCAACACTGCTGCTGCTAATAATAATAGTAATAATATTAAGAAACAATATTATTCTTATTTTTATTCTTATTATAATGATTACAATTTAACTATACTATTAAAACTGATAAATAATAACAATAATAATACAGATAATAATCATAACAACTCATTTTATTTATATGTCACACTTTACGGCCTTGATAAAAAGGGAAAATAATCATATGTCAAAAGTTGTCAATTACACCTAAGAACAACTATGTTTTAAATACCAAAGCCAGCCGTCTCTCAGCACCAGGAGCCGTTTTAATGTTGAACATATTGGCATTTGGATCAATAGTCTGTCAGGAAGCAACAGGTTCACTTCTACTTAAAATACCCTGAGATCTGTGGGGAAGATTTAGCCGGGAACACGCAGTAAAGCAGCCTCAGTAAGACGGCTCAGCGGCGGCCATATACATCATCAACTGTTTGTCTTTGTGAGGAATTATCTCCTAACAGGGACAGTAAAGGAGCTTTCACATAATCAGCTCTGACACCGTTTTTTATTGCAGCACGACTGTTTCTCCCTCTGGCTCTTGATAAGTCCTCTTCATCATGAGGAATCATTTTAAATCAATATTAAAAATTGACCCAAATCACTTCCATTAGGAGGAAACACTGGTTCTGAAAGCCAGGATTCAGCATCTTGTTTGTCCATCTCTGTTCAATTAAATTCCCAAACCCAAAGCACTTTACCTGTCAGGGTTTACCATTAACTCTATTACAGATTAAACATCCAGGGTTTAAATGGAAATGGCTTTAAACATGTGGCAACTGGTGGACAACTGTACGGTGGCCGACAGGTGCAAAACGGTCCAAAACATTTCCATTTGGAGAAATGTGCTGCAGCTTCAAAAACTGTGCCGATATAAAAACGACCACGTACCAAAGTGCAGTCCATTTACCATTTACAAAAATATGTGACTGTCAATCTACCATTATTAATCATGGCTATCATTAAGAGGCACTGGTCAAACTGTGCCTTGGCGATAAGACTCTACAGATAACTGAGAGGTTATAATGTAATCAGCAGATAGCTGCAGACAGTCAAAGTGGCTGCAGGCATCAGGTTAAACATACTCTGTTCTCGTACAGATTACTCCGCGGGTTCAGCTGTAATCAGTGGACATAAACAAGTTAAGAGCAGCCGTCTGTCAGCCGCACAAACCCTGAGCTCAGAGCAGTGACAAGGGGACTGACGGAAACTACGCACAGTGCTTCAAGAACAAGAAAGACATTTGTTATTTACTTATTTAATAAACAGAAGTGGGAAATAAAAAAGTGTTTTCTTGTCATTTGCTCTATAGAGTGTTGCAGGGACGAGTCCTAAAACCCGGAAGTGAGTTAGCATTTTACCACTTCCTGTTCCTTCGTCTCAGAGCCAATGGAATCTCTCCATAGGATTTTGGAAAATATCTGGAAATAAGGTCTGTGGTTGAAACACATTGAAGAGACGGATCACGTTTTGTTCTACGACATTAAATCCATCAGCAGTGACCCCACTGGTGATTTCTGAAGAGTTTAGGTGTCTGAAAAACGATGGTTGTTAACAAGTGGCTGAATAGGACTACAGAAGTTGTGGAGGACGTTGTACGTCATTACGCCGAACACGTCAACACTCCCGCTAAGTTTGTTTGCCCTGTTCTGCTTGAAAGCAAGTACATGCCTCCTGTAAACTGTTCAAACAAACGCTTCAACTTGTTCCATTTAGAATCTGTATGTTTGAATATCGATCTTAAATTGGCGTGACGTTGAAGTCGTGCGACCCTGCTGTACTCGGCTGTAGTTCCTTTATAGCAGAACGTTAGCATTTTGCTTCTGGCGATTCGATTTATGATTCGAAAATTATAAAAGTAGGGTAGACATGTGGAGATTATACGACTGAACAAAACGTGCATTTATCAAACAGGTTCGTTTTCCACAGATCTTATTTCGAGCTATTTTCCAAAATCCTATGGAGAAATCCCTTTGCTTTTTGTCGAGGGAACCCATGCGCTGCTTATTTCCGGGTAAATACGTCAGCCATCTTAAGAGTTCCATGAAATTCTCAGCAGCCAATCACAGCGGTCGGTGTCAAGAGTTCTGTGGAATTCTCAGCAGCCAATCGAAGCCATCTCAAGAGTTCTATGGAATTCTCGGCCGCCAATCGAAGCCATCTCAAGAGTTCTATGGAATTCTCGGCCGCCAATCGAAGCCATCTCAAGAGTTCTATGGAATTCTCAGCAGCCAATCGAAGCCATCTCAAGAGTTCTGTGGAATTCTCAGCAGCCAATCGAAGCCATCTCAAGAGTTCTGTGGAATTCTCAGCAGCCAATCGAAGCCATCTCAAGAGTTCTGTGGAATTCTCAGTAGCAAATCACAGCAGAGCTTTCTCTCTTTCTGCCTGTGTGTTTGTGCATGATAGAGAATCACATGAATTCACCTTCCCTGTCACACCACCACTCTTTCTCTCCCCCCTCTCCACGACCCCCCCCCCCCTTGGTAAGCTGACACTGGGCATTTACACGTTAGCTGCTTTTGCCTCTAATAGGATCAGCAGGACTTACATTGTCATCTGATAATTCTAAGCAGCTTGATAACTGCACTGCTCCTTCTTAGCCAATGTATGTACAATTAAGATAACAGGGAAACAGTGGAAGGACAAAAATGTATTAACAAAATCATGAGGGGATAAGCAAGCACATTAAGGTATCATTACACTGTAAGCCTGTTGGCAGGGAGACTCTGCCAACAGACTGGGGACTCTAATGGGAATGATTAGGACATTATATAGCAAAGATGGAGATCAAGGAGGCCGGCATTGCTTTCAACACGTCAATATATAAAATGTGCATGTATTTTATTTCTGTGTTACATGTTGGGACGAGATGTTGGGGGCTATTTTTGGATAAAGTACTCAAGGTGAATTAAGGACAATGTACGGTGGCTGACAGCTGCCAACGTGCTACAGCGGCCTAAAACACTTCCATTTAGATGAAACGAGCTCCAGTTTCAAAAACGATGCAAATATAAGAATACAAATGTGCCAAAACACATAGAAACATCTTCATCAAAATCAACAACTGGCAGACCTGCTGTAAGCTTGCAAGATAACTTAGCTAACCTAGTAATACCTGAAGGAGTCATGTGATCATATTGGTAAAATAAAAATAAACATTTCAGGTACGTTTCCAACAACAGAGACAGTTGTCCTTTATAATCCTGAACTTCAATAAGCGCTCCGGTCCGAGGTGTGTGCGTCACTTTTTAGTGTCCCCTGGTTTCCGTTGTGTTTTGAGCTTTTTGCAACGTTTGTATATCGTTTGGTTTATGCAGCTTTTAGTAAACGCTGCGCATCTTTCCTCAAGTGGCATGTGTTGTCAAGTCGGTGAAGATGTTTCTTCATTTCACTTTTGTGTTTTTATATTTGCATGGTTCCTGACACTGCAGCACGTTTCCCCAAATGTTTTTGGGCCGTTGCACATGTCAGCTACCGTAGCAATAATAAACCCTGACATGCATGATTTAAAGGGGACCTATCATGCAAAAATAGGGCGGTGGTGGCGAAGTCCATAGGGACTTGGCTTGGCAACTGGAAGGTCACCAGTTTAAGTCCCGGAAAGACCAAGTGCTACCGAGGTGTCCCTGAGCAAGGCACCATTCTCCGCGGGCGCCGTACATAATGGCAGCCCACTGTTCCTAACACTAGGATGGGTCAAATGCAGAGAAACCGTTTCGTTACATAGTACCTGTACTACGTAATGACAATAAGTTGAATCTTCTTCTTCTTCAAAATGCACTTTTGTGACAGTTATTGCCACTCGTCGACTGAAGTCTTTGCGGTGTGTTCGTAGCCGACGCAGGCGACGTAACGGACGTAAAAGTCGGGACGCCTTCGGTACACGTTCTTTGGTCTCAGGTTGGTGTGTAGCGGCCTTAAAATGCACGATCTGTTTGGTATTTTGAGCAAAACACATCATAGACATGTTTTTATATATTTTTATATATCTGAGACCCATAATATATGCCTAAAAATAGCATAATTGGAGACCTTGAAGGGTGGGAATTCAATTGAACAGAGATAGACAAACAAGCAAAAGGAATTCTGAATCCTGGCTTTCAGATCCTGAACAAACAACATCTTCCTATTTTTTCTCTCAGCAAACTCTGTTTTACATATTTCATCATGTGTGTGTACATTCTCCCGGCCGTGCAGACTGAAACTGAATCAGCAGTTAAATCGAGGTTCCTCTAATTTATCTTTAGATATGTTTGAGGTCACGGGTAATCTCTTGAGCGTCTTTCGAGTCGTGGAGGATTTCTGTGACATTAAGCCGGGGACGGCTCCACTGCTTTCAGGCTGCGAACAGACACTTTGGTGCTCCAGGAAACAAAGAAGCAATACGTGATGATAATGAAGCAGCAGAGCTTTTATTTCCAGTTAATGTTGAGAATCAGTCTGTGTTTTAACATCATATTACCATTAACTGCAGTTCACATCAGCTATAAAAGGGTTCAAAATCTATGATTGAGAGAATCTGTATAGCTCCTCCATAAGTGAAGTTTTACTGTGCAATGCAACAACATTTTCTATAATTATCGATATGTTTTTGAAGAAGAATCTCTTCCAGATGCAGAACACTTCCCCAGGTGCCCTGACAAATGCATTTATCGTAAATCAAAAGCATGTGGATTTGTTTTATTATGAGCATAGGCAAATGTACGGTGGTCGACAGGTGCCAATACGGCCCAAAACATTTCCATCAGGAGAAACGTGCTGCAGCTTCAGAAACGATGCAAACATAAAAACACTCATTTTCCAAAACACATGAAGGAACATCTTCGCCAACTTCACAACACAAGCAGCATTTAGAAAACATTCACTAACTTCAGGAAACATGCACAGCGTTTACTAAAAGCTCTGCAAAAACGAAATGCTGCAAGAAGCTGAAAACACAACGGAAACCAGGGGACAGTAAAAAGTGACGCACACAGCTGGTGACGTTCAGGATTATAAAGTTGAACTGTGTCTGTTGTTGGAAGTTTACCTAAAATGTTTTATGGGCTTATTTTAACAAAGGGATCACATGACTCCTTCTGATAGTACTGCAGATCTGCTAAAAACGTAACTAACCAAGGCTAAAACAAAGGCTTTTTTATTTTTTAAATATTGCAAAACAAATACAAGTAATAAAGGAAGCATTTCTAAAATACATTAATTTTTCTTGCACCAAGTTACACATGTTACATGTCAAAAAAGTGACAAAATAAATATATGACAAAATCCTTTAAGGAGATTTAAAGGTAGGGTAGGTAAGAATGGAGAAACCAGCTCGAGTGCGCTAGAATTTGAAAATACACAACCAGAAAAAATCTGCCCCTTCCTTCAGACTTCCTTACAGAGCCCCTCCTCCAACACACACGAACGCGCACATGACCAATGAGGGCACGAGATAAGTTTGTGCACAGATGGAAGGCTGACAGGCAGGTAGGACATCCAGTTATTTTAGCCGGGCCGGCTCAGGTGATTGGTCGTGCTTTTTACAGCACCACGCCTTCCACAGACGATGTTTTTTTATGTATTTATTGTCAAAGCATTTAATATATTCATTGCTATCGGGATGTTAAGAGCATTCCATGGAATATAACAAAAAGTGTTTCTGAAGTGAATTACCTACCCCACCTTTAAGACAATATTACTATTTAGTGTCTTTTGATAAATGGTTTTAATACTAGGATATGTACAGTGTTTTTGGTTGTAGGCTTTCTTAAATATGTTTTAAAAAATGTTAGATGATTTAAGATAATGTTACTGTTTAGTGTAATTTAATAAATTAAACTTTTTTTAATGGGATATTAATTGCATTTGTCTTTTTATATTATTAAGATATTTCAAAAATAAAACCTTTATTAAATATTGCAAAAAAATGCTCTTCCAGCTACTGATTTTTTTCTTTACCATAGTTTATAAAACAAGAATTTTAAATATATTTAAAACATGTTTTTACCAGGAAACCAAAAGAGTAAAAGGACAATAAAAAATTCAAAAACAATAAAATATTTATTAAATTAAATGAAATAACCAGTTCAACTAAATAATAATAATAAAAAAGGAGATTTAAGTCAATGTGATATAATACATCAAATACAGGAATGGCTTTAATGGGAAATTAATTATAGAAAAATATAATATATATTCTATATTAACAGGTCAACTTTGCCCTGATGGTAGTGTTAACCTCATGTGTTATAATTTATTGTTGCATGAGGGTCCACATAATGGGGGGCTGTGTGTGTCAGTGAAATCTCTCAGTGTCTCTTTGTCTTTAAAACAATTCATTTATGAAAGAAAGTCTTGTGCAGGCTTCATTAGCCGGGGCCTCCTGCTGTGTGTGTGTGTGTGTGTGTGTGGGGGGGGGGGGGATGGAAATTTAAAACAATTACTTGAGCAGAAACCAGCTGCCAATCACTGTTTCAGGGGACGGATCCCAATTAATAGCCCCGTCCCTAATCCCCTGGTTTCACCTCCTTCCCCTCAGCCCTGAGCGCCTCCTGCACTCTCTGAGTCTCAGTCTGTGAGCGCTCTGGATTTTACTCCGTTGCACTTTTTGCAGGACTGCTTTTTTTTGCCACCTAGAGACATTATTGAGGGAAATGCAAGTGAGGCAAATCCGGCTGATTGACAGCGAGAGGATCTGAAGGTGGAGAGGACAGGTGGAGCAACTTTAACAACGTAATTACTTCTAACAGGTGAGCTCTAACACTGTCATACATTTACCGACACCTAACCCTATTACTCACCATACAACTGGAGGAGGGGGGAAAAAAGCAAACTAGGAACGTACTAAACTAACTTAAAACAGATTGTCCCTTCTCCTCTATATGGAAGAGTAGATGTGATCCCTGAAAGGAATTCATTTTACACTTGCAATCTTGTCAATTTACTTTATTTATGTGCAAAATATCTTCAATTTCATGCACTGGATGTCAGATTTTTTTGTGTTTAATAGACTTATCTTTCCAACACATAAACCATATTTGATCTTTTGCATAAGGCATTACTTTATTTAACTATTATATAACCAATAAATTCACTCGCTTTGTACTTACAGTCCATTATTTTGTAGTTCACTTGTAGTTCCCATATGCTTTTTAAAAATCCACTCAATTAACTTTATCTTCACTGTTATATTAAATAACGTCAATGTTATTTACTTGGCGTCCAAGATTTAGTATTTTAAATGGCTTTTGACAGACAGATGTTTTTGGTAACAGTTCAGGTAATGTTGTGCGTATTAAGGATAATAAATTGTATTTACCAAGCAATTTCTCACTTTAAAACAGACAGCATGAAAAAAAACAGGGATATAATGTCAAATGAATAGGAAATAATATGTGAGTAAAGTTAAATAACATGATAAAGTTTCTTTTATTCCAATATAGAGACTTTGATGTTAGTTTTGATGAGAGAAAATGTATTATTGTCCTATGAAATGTGGAAAAAAGTGAATTTAAATGAAACATTTGTTCCTAATTAACCTCAGCAGTGCAGACCATTCGTTAAAAAAAAAGTAAAAAGTGTGGATTAGGAGGTAACGGGTGTCATTAGTGTCCATCAGCACACTCTTCAGTGCAGACGGTGCCCCCCCGCAGGATAATCAGGTTAATGTGATGAACAGAGTCATGCAGAGGGAGCAGGTGATCTCTGACCCTCAATTTACACAATTCTCCAGCAGCTTGGAAACAATAATTAGTATTCTCATAGTTTTAAAATAAAGCCTTTTTCTAAATATTGCAAAAATGTTGTTTCCTTATTTTCAACATTTCTCCAAAGAGAAAGCATAAGAGCATTACATAAATATAAATTCATTCAAATGAGCCACACATTTACCATGCTATATCAAAGTGATGTTTACACATTATATATTCACATAATAATTATAATGCAATAATATGATATTGCTTTGTTTTTTTAATGTACAGCACTACTTTTACTTGGGAGTTTGCATGAGTCTTATTTTCAAAAGAGTATTTCTGCACTGGTTGCATGTACTGTTAACCTCCCCTCTCCCCCTAAAGGATCTCACCTACAAGAAGAATGCACTACAAAAAAGTACTGTATAAACAAGATGGCAACGAACAAAACTCAAAATAACACATTTAAACAAAAGTGATAAACCCTGACCCCCCTCCCGTTCCTTTAGGGCCGGACGCTCGATGCATCTCTCTCTGGACACCATGATGGTGGACGACAGCTGCCTCTCACCCAGCAACTTCCACGATCTAGGGAAAGGTGGGGGGCTCTCTGTGGGGGGCCGCGTCCACAGCATCGACGTCATCCTGGGGTTCAGTAAGGACCAGGACCCCCTGCTCAGCCCTTCAGGGACCCCGCGGACCCACAAAGTGGACATCGAGGGTCTGGGGGAGCCCCAGGGGCCCCAGGAAAACTCCTCCTTCAGCGGGCATCTCTCCTCGCTGAGGAACGGAGGCACGGAGGAGTACCATGGTGAGTGCAGCCTCACTGTGATAACAGGAGGGTTACAAATGTAATCTCCAAAAATGTTTTAATGTAATCTGAGTATCACAAAAGTAACCTGATTACTTTGTGTTACTTTTGGATTACCTCAATGTCAAATGTAATGCAAATGCACACAAAAGAAAAGAAATATCGATTTTTACTTTCAAACCGCTGCAGCCTCACTGTGATTACTAACAAGGAGGGTTACTTTAAAAATGTAATCTGCTTCCATAGGCGTCAATTATACTAGGGACGCCAAGGACATGTCTAATGACCATTTTTGGAAATGGCAAATTTTGTCCCCCCCCATTTTGCATTAGGAACATTTGTGAAAATGAAATGTTCTGAAAATATCGTTCACAAAGAATTGTACACTTTGAGAAGAGAACACAAGAGAACATGTAGAGTCTGGAGGACTGTTCATACTTTCTGGGTGTGTTGGAGCGGGGCAGTTTGGACCTGAGACATGTTTAATATGAGTTATAATTTTATAGAGAATTGCTTTGTAGCAGCGTAGTATAGTTACTGCACTAGTGGTCAATGCAGTAGTGTTTTATTTTATCTGAAAAAGAGTGTCCCCACCACTTTTTTTTTGACAAAGAGACGCCCATGTCTGTGTACAATGTACAACCTGTAAAGAAATGTAATGTTATCTGAGTACAACAATATAAAACGAATGTAACCTGATTACTCTCCATTACTTTAGGATTAATGTAAAATGTAATGCAAATAAATAGAAGAGCAAGTAAACATCAATATAATGATTTTTTACTGAAGTGTACTATGCTAGTAATCCACCATCATTTATTCAACAAGCCAACATATATAAAAAATGTTGTCATCAAAAGGTGTTTTTAAAAGTAATGCCGTGTTGACAAAATGCTGTGGACATTATCTAATAATTAAACATATAACTCAACTAATTAATCGTGATTTAAAATGTTATCAACATTGAAATACAAATGTTAAAACTCCACCTGAACTAAGTACGTTGATTCAAGTATTTTGACTAAAGTAGATGTAAGATACAGATATTGGCCGTTCTGCATATGCAGTTCTAAGCTTATGAGACATTTCCCTAAAAACAATGAACATTAAACTAAATAAATTACAATTACGCATTAACGGAAAGGGAAAGGGAAAAAACTCAAAAGTATTGATGGAAAAGATTTAGACTGAAGCTTAAACTTATGATATCACATTCTTATACAACCAAAAGTAATTGGTGTAGCTTTTCTGAGGAGTTTGCATCACTCCTCTCATGCAGTTTCACTGTGTCAAACACTGTTTCCATGCAGCCTGTTGCATTACTGTAAGAGATTTGGAGATAAATCACAGGACAAGATGGTGTAGGGGGGGGGTGGGGTTTATGTCCCTGAGTACAATCCCATCCCCTTGAGGAATTCCCCTAATCTTCTCTTGCGTGCAGATTAGATTGTACAGTAGTTCATTCGGGTGTTTTGGTTATCGTTTGGTCTCAGAATCACATTCGTCACGTTTAATCTCGAGCTGATTTCACATGCAGGATCTGGCAGGTGGTTTTGTGGCAGAAACCAACCAACAAAATATTATTGTCGTGAAAAATCAAGTGATTTAAAAAAGGCTCAAGCTGCATCCTCCCAGGGCAACCAAAGTCAGATAGAAGTCTGGGGGGAAGTGAGCCTACTTTTCGCTTGATTTATTACCTCATTAACTTTTGTAAACATGACTCTATGGTGTCAAATGCTAGTTTCGAGACTATTGAATTAGGCGGTGTTTACACGAGAACGAAAACTGGTTGTATCCGCTACCTTTCTCTTGCGTATAGCCCGTTTGTTCACACGAGGCGGTAACGGAACCGCGGAAACGGACCCCGCAAACGATAACGGGTCCCAAGGTGGATAGATCTGCAAACGGAACGCCCTGGGGGGCCAAACGGCTCCGTGTGAACGCCCTATACGATCTTTTCCTGATAACGATGAAGCCATAGCCCCGCCTCTGCAGCTCATTGCTGTAGCATGGTCAGTAGCTACTGTCAGTAGCTACTGCTAGTGCTACTGCTACTGACCATGCTACAGATGTTAGTGCAAAACCTACAGCTCCTCTACCACAACCATCAGCAACAAGTGGACATGGAGAACTACATGAACTACATGTTGCTAAATCTACTACGGGGCATAAACAGAAGGGCAACCATGGCAACCGTGCTCGGGGGTCTTCTTCGCTGCTTTCGGTGTATTTTGTGGCGGAAGTACAGCGCCACTTACAGGCCCGGCATTTGTACTACAGCGTTTCCAGTGGTCTCGTGTGAACGGATACGTTAAATGAATCGAATGCGTGTGAACGGAAGACTTTTTTGATTAGGACGAATTCGGTCCGTTTGCGTTTGCGCTCCCGTGTAAATAGGGTCTTAAAGTATGGTGTTCATTTTGTAAACTAATGTCCAATTAAGAGTAAATAGACCATAAAGCAGGGTATGGCTTGTTAAAGACGGATGTTCTTCAGTATTGGTGCTCTCTGTGTTTTCGCCTTCCAAATGTAACCCTGATGGGCGACTGTAGCTGTGAGGAAGTGCGGTCGTCTCTCAACCAGAAGGTTGTGGGTTCGATCCCAGCCAGAGTAGTCAACATGTCGATGTATCCTTGGGCGAGAAACTGAACCCTGAGTTGCTCCTGATGGCCAACGGTGTGTGAGTGTGTGTGAATGTTAGCTTCCCTAGAGCAAGTGGCGCTGCTCTGTATGAATGAAGTGTGAACGGGAGAATGACTCGTAAGTGCTTTGAGGGGTCGTATAGACCTGTTAAAGCACTATATAAGTACAGTCAATTAACCATTTACAGTTCATCAAAGTCAAGTTGACCATGTTTGTTACCTAAAATACATTTATTTTTTAGCATTCTGTTGTACTTAGCTTCTCGTGTCACATCTGGTTAATTTAAAACAAGATGGCGATGCGATAAACCCCAATTTATGGCTTCAAAACCTCAGCCCACGATTCCAAATGTGACACTTTTTACATCAAGTTTATGTTGCAACTAGCAATTGATTTGAAGAATGAATGATTAGTACAAGTTACTTTCTGAGTTTGGTCCATGACATTTTTATCCCAGTTTCCAAAAGTCCACAGTAATGTCTTGAGCTTTTTAGTTTTGTCTGTTGAAAACCCAAAACATTTCCAGGTTCATGTGAAGAACAACAGATAAAAGCAGAACATCTCCATATTCGTATGGCTAAAAAACTGAATGTTATGACTGTTTTGCATGCAGTTTTTTTATAATTGTCAACTGACCCATCATTGCAGCTCCGGCTTCAAACTCAGTCTCCGTATCCACGCCCTCGCTCGATTTTTTTGATTAACGTACATCAACAGAAATGACATCACCCTTTTGTATGTAACTATCCTGTGAAGTCAGCCCAGTTCCCCCCGAATGAGCCACTTCTCCCCCCCCCCCCCCCCCCCCCGCCTCTGATAAACAGTGGGCAGCCTTCAGTCTGATGGGCTGACAGGCCAAGAGCTGGTCACTGAACCAGACCTGACCTCCGCCTTTGTCCGAGCCTGGCCTTTGTCATGGCTGCTTAATGAGAGGTGGATAAATGAACCCCCAAATATCCCGTTTGCCAGTTGAAGAAACCACAATGGCCGCCCCCTCTCCCCCCTCCTCCCTCCCCTTTCTCTATGGTCATCAACACATTTCAACAGATTGTTATGCCGTGAGTTGTTTTACTAAAGCATTGACATGTTCTGGAAACTTCTCAACATGTATCTTACAGTGATGCTAATGATTCTACAGTAGAGTACATTACATGTCATTTAGCTGTTGCTGCTGTAGCCCGATATGGTGTCCAACAGTTTCATGGTCCAAAGCTAGCTTAAATATCATGTCCAAATGTAAGACCTGTCACTTCAAAACAAGAATACAAACTATTTTGTTCCCCTGCGTTAACCAAACTGAGAAAAAGGTCATTTGAATGAGCAAAACCACGTAGAGAATGCTCTCAAAGCTAGCTACTTAGCTGAACTCATAGACAAATTGAGAGACTAGTCATTAAATTAACATTATGTATATGCTGTATTCAGAGGTGGAAGAAGTAATCAGATCTTGTACTAGAATAAATCGAATTAGTTTATTTGGCTGTATTAGGCTAAACTTAAACTGGGATTTCCTTGTCTTGTCAAGGTTTTATATTCGAATGCAGCGTCTACACTACTTTGACTTCTAACATGACAACTTTAACGATTGACGTTAGCCTCATTAGCATCATTAGCCCTGATGAAGTGTTTCCCACAGACGTGTTGACTAACCGGGTCCCCTTGATTACAATGTCTCCTTTATCCACACTTTTTACTAAGTGAAAGTAAAGAAAATCTGAACTTTGGATATTTTATTTTTTGTTTGACTTGCAATACACGACACAGCAACTTGATGAAACTCATTCTTGCCCATTGATACTTCAACATGTTGAATGTAAGGTCCGGGATTGAACTGGTGACCGTCCGATTGGTAGGCAACAGATCGCCCCCAAATCCTATTTCCTTCTAATTTGAACCCACTTTTTACACAAAAGATGGCAGAGTTAATACTTATACTCAGGGCCGCCTTTATGCACGGGCTGACCTGGGCTGAAGCGTGCATTTTTGCTTTATTGGGGGTGTCCGAAAACCAGTCAGTATATGGTGTGAGGGGTAGGGTTAGGGTTAGGGTTAGAGTAATGTTGTGAATCGAGTGGCCCATGGTGGTGGTGGGGTTATGGTATGGGCAGGCGTATGTTATGGGCAGGCGTATGTTATGGACGACGAACACAGGCCACTCGATTCACAACATTACCCTAACCCTAACCCTCACACCAGATACTGACTGGTTTTCAGACCCCCCCAATAAAGCAAAAATGCACGTTTCAGAGTGGCCTTTTATTGTGGCCAGCCTAAGGCACACCTGTGCAATAATCATGCTGTCATGCTAATCATGCCGCATCTTGATATGCCACACCTGTGAGGTGGGATGGATTATCTCGGCAAAGGAGAAGTGCTCACTATCACAGATTTTTTCAGATTTGTGAACAATATTTGAGAGAAATGGTTATTTTGTGTAAATAGAAAATGTTTTAGATCTTTGAGTTCATCTCATGAAAAATGGGAGCAAAAACAAAAGTGTTGCGTTTATATTTTTGTTCAGTGTAACTTAATTTGAAGTCTACTCCACTGTCTAACATTAAAAACTCTTATATTGTATGTGATGGATGTGGTTTACATAAAAAGAAAGGGAACATTGTGGTTTATCTTTGTGGAAGATCAACGCTGGAAAACAACTTTTTCTAAATCTGATTAGGTATGTTTTCGTGCTTCCTTGAAGTTCATAGGATTGCCTGCTCCACTGACCTACAGTAGCCCATTGTTGCATATGTCAAACTAATGTCTGCTCTACCGGAAAAAACAGGCACTACATTCTTTATTACAAGGGTTGGGGAATAATGGATTACATTATGTAGTCAGGATGCAAAAAAAGTTATCTGTATTTACTTACAGTCACATAAAGAAAATCTGATTAGTGTTAGATGTTATCTCTTCTCTGTAAACTGTGCTGTTCTGTAGGATAATCTATACGCCTCCTGCCTGAATCTGCTTTATGGTTTTCACTTTCTTTGGATTATTTGTTGTGTTTTTAAGTCAGTAGGTGAACCCATATGTTCATAAAGTAGTGTGTGTGAGCTTAACTATGTGTATTAAACTAAAACGGAGCATTTTCTGTCAGCTCAGATTTTATTTCAGCTTGTTTGAACTCATGTGTTTCATTGTCGGCGGATAGGCTACTGCCTGGATATGCTGAATGAAAGTCAGGTTTTCCTATAAAAACAATCTGAAACATTTCTGATCCTAAATATCTTGGTTTCTTCTTTTCTAAGGTCACAATAGCCGCTTTCACACTTTGCCGTACTTAGTTCCCAACACTTAGTTCCCAGCACTTAGTACCCCATGGATCTAAGAGCCGATCGCGTTCACACCGGAATAAGTTCCCTGAGGCAGGCCGCACACAACTTCACGGCGTATACTGCCACTCAAAGTCAAAACTTTTCCGAGTTTTACGGGGCGTGGTTTGCAATTCGCCCAGCCAATCATAAATTGGAACTTTTTTTTCTTCTGCTCTCTAGCAGGCACTAAAAAGGGGGTAAAAGTTCTCATGAACTAAGTTCTCTTTTGGTGTGAACGCAAAATCCCAGGAACTATCGGAACTAAACGGGAAAAGTACTCCGGTGTGAAAGCGCCTATTGTTCTGTTGTCTTATATGATACACTTCAGTAAAAAACATCTTGTTGATATCTATTGGATTTATCTGCATTGCATTTGATATTGAAGTAATCCAAAAGTAGCAGAAAGCAATCAGATAAGTTTGATATTGTGATACTCAAGAATCCTTTTTTTTCGCATGTCAATACGTAGTTGTTGTAACAGATAACATTTGCAAAGTAACTTCCCAAACCCCATTCATTTCACATTTCCAACCTTTTAACACATTTAATTTCTTCTCTGCTCAGATACCGGCTTATTTACCAACAAGTGTGATGAAGAGCTAAGTGAGCTGAGGAAGAGTGTGGAGAGTGACGAGGGAAATTCTCCAGACCCCTGCATGGACGAACAGCCGAAGAAGAAGCACCGGAGGAACCGAACCACCTTCACCACCTACCAGCTGCACGAGCTGGAGCGAGCCTTCGAGAAATCCCATTACCCCGACGTCTACAGCCGCGAAGAGCTGGCCATGAAGGTCAACCTCCCCGAGGTCCGAGTGCAGGTAAGAGGAACCACATCACATGCATCCAGTAGTGGAGAGAAGATGAGTACATTCATTTCAGGACAAATCAATGTATGCCACTTCACTCCACCTCAATAGAGGGAAATATTGATCTTTGAGAATCAGAATCAAGTTTATTGCCAGTTTACACAAACAATGAATTTGCTCTGGTGGCCGACAGGTGCTCTACAACGGCCCAAAAACACGTCCATTAGGAGAAACACACTGCAGCTTCAGAAACTATTTAAATATAAAAATACAGAAGTGCCAAAACACATGCAATGAAGAAACATCGTCCCCAACTTGAGGAAACATGCGTTTACTATAAGCGCTGCACAAATGCAAATACAAAACTAGGCAAAAAGCTCAACGGAAACCAGGGGACACTAGAAAGTGACGCACACAGCTGGGACCAGAGCACTTGGTGACGTTCAGGATTATAAAGTTGGACAACTGTCTCTGTTGTTGGAAATGTACCTAACATTTTTTATGGGCTTATTTTAACGATGTGATCACATGACTCCGTCTGATATTACTGCAGATCTGTTGTAAACTGGCTAGCTAATGTAGCTAACCTAATCATTTCAAATATACTGACAAACACTTCTGAAGTAAACTGATTAAGAGGTAGTAGAGTTGAAGTAAAAAAATCATACAATAGATATACTCAAGTAGGTATAAGTACTGTACCTCAGTAATTGAATGAATGTACTTAGTACCTGCAGGTAACATTAAGAGTTGGTGTGTTTCCAAATGCTGAGGTTTTCTAAGGACGCACAAAAGCTTTCACCTTTGGCTCGCAGCTATTTAGGTGAGGAGATTAATCTTAATTGTTACGCAAGTGTTTGTGTGTGTGTGTATGTATGTGTTTCCACGTCATGTGGGGACAAGGAGGTAAAGTCTTTAAACAGGGGACAAACACTACCTTGAGCTTTCAGTAATCTCATGCTGTCCTTAAGTACACATTTAAGGTATACTTGTACGTCTGTTGAGTAGCTTTTTCTTCTGGGAGAGAAATTCCCTCTGGAGGAAACACAGGGATTTTAGCCTTTTGCAAACCATTACCATCCTTAGACACTAGAGGAGAGGGAAAACCCTAAAGAGCCTCTTTAAATGGAAATAATCAAGTAACTTACAAATATGTCAAACATTTATTAAGCTACCCTAATACTAATGCCATTTTATAATATGTTTCGTAATGCTCTTAATGTCTTTCATTTTTGTAAAGCACTTTGAATTGCCTTGTGTTGAAAGGTGCTATATCAATAAACTTGCCTTGCCTTACACCATTCCTTATATTAAGGTTAATGAGTTTGTTCTTTGTCCTCCAGGTGTGGTTCCAGAACCGCAGAGCAAAATGGCGTCGTCAGGAGAAAATGGACGCCAGCACCATGAAGCTGCACGACTCGCCCATGCTCTCCTTCAACCGCCAGCCCCAGCTCCACAGCGGCATGGGCCCCATGAGCAGCTCCCTGCCCCTGGACCCCTGGCTCTCCTCCCCCCTGACCAGTGCCACGCCGGTGCACAGCATGCCGGGCTTCATGGGTCCAGCTCAGGGCCTTCAGCCTAACTACCCGACCCACAGCTTCCTCAACTCCGCTCCTCACCCTCACTCCCATCCTCACCCGTCCATGGGTCAGGGGATGCAGAACATGGCGCCTCCCCCTTACCAGTGCACAGCGCAGTACCAGGATAAATACCCTCTGGAGGACGTGGACCAGCGCAGCTCCAGCATCGCGGTTCTGAGGATGAAAGCCAAGGAGCATCTGCAGTCCATGGACAAGACCTGGCACCCCATGTGACTAACAAGTTAGGAAGGGAGACATTAAGGTTGTTTTTTTCGGGTTAAAGGGTGAAAGACATTGAGTCAAATACTGGATAATATGGCAGTGACTTATCTGATACCCACAGAGCAAAAAATAAAGGACTTTGAACTGTGAAACCTGAGGATTAAAGGACTTTCTTTGGACTATTTGTCCTCATCTCAAGGAGACAAGTGAACTCTTATGCTTGTTACAATGTTATTTTTCACATTCTTCTTCCAATATGAACGTTTTGGGTGTTTCCTTTGCGTGAAATAAACGCAATAACTTTATTTGGTGACTTTTAGACCCTGGGAGTGAGGACATTTCCTTTCCTATCAGCACACCTCCCATCGGATGAATGCATACTTTCATCGACAATCACAAACAGATATTGTCATGATATGAAATCTCCATAGACAGGGAATCATGAAAATCACCCAAATATGGGAATTATACTTGCTCTCACCTCTTTTCCGTTAGTTCTGTCGGTAATCCCACATTCTGTTTTATTTCCCCATTTTCTTTTTACTAATTAATCCAATTGTTTAATTTTCATGGGTCAGCTGATCAGAGAATACTTTGTGAATGAAAGTGTGGTCTCACTTTAATGCGAGAGCAGCTTTTAAAAAATCAAATCAGCGTCTCTGACTGTTAAACTAATCTGTTGATTAAATTCCTAATTAAAGCACGGCTGCAGATTAATGATGCAGTTTAGACAACCCGGAGGAAGATGGCAGACGAGGAAAATCTTTCTGTACAATATTCGTGGGAACCAGAATCAGAGATGTGAGGCACCTTTTGACCATGCCTGAGAAGATACCAAAAAAATAATCCTGCACAATCTTAGTTTTTCTGATTAGATGCTTTAAAGCAGGAAATGCACGCATGCTGCAGAGCGGGGTTCAACACAGTTTTTGCTTGAGTGGCTTCTTGAGGAGAAGACCTGTTGGCAGCTCAGTGTTGGTGCAGTGTGTACGTGCAGGGCTGCAGAAAGAGCGCTGTGTGATGCGTCACCCCACATAGTTCAGTCTTTGTCCGGCACAATTGATCCAAGTGTGTCCTCTTTGTCTGAGATGGACGGGGCCGAGGGGACGGTCTGCACTAAATAGGCCCTTGAAACCATTTTGTCTTTCTTTCTCAATCAAAGGAGGAACATGGGTCGTAGCTGCTATGGTCATTAGTGACACAGTGTTGTTATTATTTTCCTCTCCCCCCCCCCCCCGTCTGTTAATTGAATGTGTGTCATATGAGCAGTAGAGCTACATCTATTAATGAGACTTTTTAACGTCTGCAGGTAGCATCTCACGTTACAGGAACAAGAGGGAGAGGAAATCCTTCATCTTAAAGTGCAATTTCAGACATATTTTTATATCATTTTAATACAAATTTCCCCCCAAACTTTGTGATATTTCATCTTTATATGAAGTCATGCACACACACTCACTACAGCAGCAATTACAACAATATCAAGTTTATTTTAAAACCTGCTCATAGAGGGAAACAAACGTATTCATCTGCTGCTAGTCTTAATTCTTGTGTAGTTTTGAAATGTTGTTGGTCAGTGATGTTTAGCCTCTCCATTGGACACATGCCAGGACCTCACACTGTAGAGGATTACCTTGCACATTAAAATCTTCTTTAGCATGTTATAATGTGATTTTTGGACCAAGAACAAGCCAAAGGTTATAGAAACTGGACAAAAAATGCACTAGAAGTTTTAGTTTTTTACGGCTGTTTCCTAGATTATATCTGTCCTAGTGATGTTTTGATTTTGTCTGATGTGCTGGGAAAGAATGAAGATCTACTGAAAAAAATAAATATAGTTTGATAGAAATCTCCTCTTTCTCAATGCTTTCATGTTGACCTGTGCACTTGTTCCCACACCGGCTCTGTATTTCCAAGATTACTAATCGTTATCATCTGACATACAGAGGCATTTTTCTTTCTTTTCCTCCAACACTTGTGCCCTGTCTCCCTCTCTCTCTGTCACATAAGAGCTCTTTCTCCCCTGGTTTTTTTCTGCTGTTCCCTGGTTTTGGTGGCAGGGTGCCAGGCTGTTAGGAAGATGAGACTCCAATCAATCAGGGCTTCCCGGGGGGGCCTCGGACCGAAGAGCCCCGCTCACTAATTGCCCTTCGGGGCCGGTCGCTGCAGCACATGTTACAGAGGGACCGGTGCCGCCGTGATATCTGTCCTCCGGCGTGAGAATCACTTTCCTGGACAGATGGAGGGCAGCACACGGCCATATGGAGAGCAGGAGACAAGTTGTTTATTGCACGACATGAAGTGATCAGATACTGAGTTTAAATGGGAGGGGAACTTTAAAAATATAATCCATTACAATTACTATTCACCTGTATAACATGTAATAGTCTGAGTCTTAAAATATAACAGTAATGTCACCTGAAAACTTGCCATTACTTTTGGGTTACTTTAATATCAATCCATTCAATATTTTTTCTTATATTTTCATCTTTTATTTCTCTTACTGTGTTTATGTATGCACCATATTTACCTTATGCTTCGTCTGCTTTAATTGGTACTTCCGATTAGAGCGTAATTGCTAGCTCATTGCATAGCGTCGCTAACTTTATCAACCTTTACTTGCCAAAGAAACAGCTTTAAAGCTTTTTAATAAACTGTTATTAAGTTATAACACGTATTCAGGCGATAAACTAACCATTTAGATGACCAATATGTGATCAGTTCATCCAAATAATGCATATTTCAGAATTTACGTAGATGTTTTGAGAAACTGGTGCTGGGGAAAAGCGAGAAAAAAGCAGCCGGTTGGCTTAAGATAATCACAAGTCAACTATGTTTTAATAATTACTCTCACTGCCTGAACGGTAGACACGTGACCGCACTTCAACGTTAACCATATGTTAAATAACACTTCTAATTGTAAAAAGGAGAGCCCCCAGTTTGGCGATAGCTTATTAGATGGGTTGCTAACGTAAGCTAGCTTGGATGGATGGATAGATAATGTTTGCTAGCTGACAGGTTAATTCAACTTTTCTACATGTTAATTACTGTAGACCTCGAAATTGATATGGAGTATTTGTTATAGTAGGGTCAATATCAATATAAAGTAACTTTGGTGTCCCCATCAGAATCACTCAGTTATCATGAAAATGTAGCAGAATAATGAAACTCTGAGGTCTTATTATAAAAGGCCAAACATTTACACACATATCAGTACAATGATAAGTCTCTTGAAATGTGTTTCCTTCATTTTATACCTTATTTTTTCATTGGATGTACGTGATTTTGGCATGTCCCACACACTACTCTGCTAAATACAGTGTGTGTAATAAGTGATTAAATGATACATTTAAAAGAAAATTATATTGTTTTATTATTTATTACACAACGAGTTATTTGATAAAACGAGTCATTTTGATCATGTTTATTCTATTTTCATAATAATATTGAACATTTTTCATGTGTCCCTGCCATTGCTGTCCACCCTGTCATTAAGGGGAAGAAATGGGAGAAACCTCAGGGAGAGCAACAGAGGAGGGATCCCTCTCCCAGGACGGACAGACGTGCAATAGATGCCGTGTGTAAATCGAAGAGATAATACATTTACAACAGGTAGACCAAATGTTTGGAAATGCATGTGTCTGTAATAAGAAGATGAATCCACGAGGATGTCAACAATCCTGTGGAAGCCATCAGGGAAGTAGTATGGCGAGCATAATGCAGACTAGGGCAGCCTATCCCTTTAAGAGAGAGAGGGTATGGCGCCTGCATGTGTAGAGTGAGCGAAAGAGAAGATTCAAGGCTCAATTGTCATGTGTACATAGCTACAGTGTACACAGTGCATCCAACAGTGCAACATGAATATAGGACATAAAACAAATAAAAACAGATAAAATAGTGCAAGAGAATGTTTTGAGATGTGCAAAAATGTAAATACAAATTAAATAGAATTAGTGCAAGAAGAGTCTATAAGAAGTTGAGACATCGTAGTTTTATACATTTTATATTGACTCAGTAACTTGGAGGTTTACTTTATTCTTATCCTATTTCATCCTATGGGCTCTAGATCTATATTCCATACAATAGCATGTCCTCTGCAGTGCTAATGAGCATGCAGCTAACAGCAGCTCGGCCTCTTTAAGTGTAGTGATAATAATCCCACACACACACACACACACACACACACACACACACACACACACACACCACACACACACTCACACTCACACACAGAGCCTCCTGTGAACTTCACTGTGTGTTTTCTGCTGAGTGAGCCTATAGAAATGTACCACATCGGACACACAACATAGTTCTACTAAGTGTGAAGGAAGCACACCCCCATCTCCACAGACAGACACACCCTCACAACAGTGGCGCCAACAGGCAAATCCCCCCCCCCCCCTTCCCATCACCACCACCACCACTCCCTTTAACTGACCTCCAATTATGTCATGCGAAAAAAGCTGTGTCCCATTGAAAAGCTTTCTTAATCAAACCCAATTAATTCCGCTATTTAACCTTATTGTCCGTGGAGAGGAACGCGTCTCTCCAATAAGACTGTTAACTCCAGCCGGGGCCCCTTCAGATCCAGCGGGCTGCAGGGGCCAAATAATAGACTGCACAATTAATCAATTAGTGATTTGGGACTCTGTGGTTGTTAATAGACACTGTGAGAGGAGTTAGGGCTTCCCTCGTAATCACACGTCTTCCTGTTTGTCATTTAGTCACAATTAATTAATCATGTGAGCAAATATTGTTCTTTTTATACCTGCTCATCTTTCTGCATATATCTCACATTTCTGTATAACACTACGTCTTTTAAATCTGCACAGCCATCCACTTTGAACTCTAATATACCGTATTGAATCTGGTTCAACCTTTGAATCATAAGATTCATATTGTTATGAAGACTATGGAAAAAGATGTACATAAACGCTATGCTTACTGTTAAATTTGAAAAAAATACACATGTGCTTTTTAAACATTATAACGTAATTTGTCGTCACTACCCAAAACCATTACAATACAACTTGTTGAGCTGAGAAAACATGATGAAACATTCCATTTACACGCACAACAACATATATATAACACACTACAGGAAAGGGAAATCCCCAAAAGCATAATCTCTCTAAAAGCAGCTCCAACTCATTTTAATTAATAATGCATTTTTTCGATTTTTAGGATTTTTTGTTCAACATATCCTCATCAAACATTCATGGCAACTGTCATGGCCTGGCTCTTGGCCATAACAAAAAACGTGGTAAGGACACGATATAAGGAAAGATATTTATTATGACCACTCAATTTAACAAAATAGCTACCACGAGCAACAGCACACGTCCAGTGACTTTTTTTGGGGTGAAGTATTCCTAAAAGTAAGTCAAACCGCAAGCAAATCTCAAGCCTATCAGGGTAGCAGAGAACAAACTAACTTCCACATACAATAACTAAATCGTAGTTAGCTCACATTGTAATTTCTTTGAGATGCTGCATCTTTAAATAATGGCCTCAAATGTATGAATATGGAAATGTTGGTGCTTGCGTCCACTTTAAAAAGGTTGTTACAGCTATCTGCAGCACTACTTATGACAGGTTTTGCTTGGTCGTTGTGTGCAGAGACAGATTGATGTTCAGATGTATTGTGCGAGGATTAAAGTCTGTGTTCCTGTGTCTTTCCACCGCTACACTCAGGATCAAGTGATGTGTTGTTGTTTGACATCGAGCAGCATGTGCACAGATTGATTTTTAGCAACACCCAGATGTCCACGTTGGATTAGGTTATGTTTGGGATGTAATGTGGAAACAACCGGAAGAAACAAGGAGCTGAGACACTGTGTTAGATATGGACAAAAATAACACATTACAAGATTTGAATAGGTTACAGCGTTGAGATATTTAATGTAAGAGCATAAGAAAAAAGTACATTTGTTGATGAATTCATGGTTTTATCAGGTAAAAACAGCAGCTGTATTCCTTATTGGCTCACATTAGAATACATTTGAGGACTGTCTTTTCTCCCACTGTCAAAAAAAAAAGATGGTTTTAGAACAAAGTAACATTTTCCAGAAGTCTGAGTCTTACAAAGAGTCAGCAAAAATCATATATGGCTCATACAGAAGAGGATTAGGGCCACATGTTAAAAGAAAAAGTGATATCTGACCAAAAGTACAGCAACAATCCTCTATGGCTCACTTCAGAGAACATTTGAGGTTTTCCTTTCCTCCAACTGTCAAAATATAAGAAAGCTTTGAACAAAATGTTTAATCTTTTGAGAAATTCAGGGTTGTAAACAATTATGCAAAAAATACAATTTGGCTCACATTATGCAACCATTTTAGATTGTTGCAGATTAAAACACAACTCTCCTGGAGAACTTATTTTCTATAACGATACGGCTGAATGTTTATTGTGTGTCACCTGCCATGGAGAATATACATAGAGGCACAAACAGCAGCTTTAAGAAGGCGCCG